CCTAGAAACAAGAATGAAAACTAGGAAAGTGGATGTAATCTGTCCATTCAGTTCTGCTACAATGCTTTAGGAGGAAACAACAAAAGAAATCTTAGATGAAATCAGAGGCTTGCTTAGCCTCATGAGCATAGCCAAAGGAGAACAGTTTATAATTTCTTTAGTATAAGTACATCTTCAATTCAGAACATTATGAAGAGCCTGGGAGGAAGTGGTCGGACACAAAGAGAACAAAGCTCAGGAGGGTGGTAACTGAAGAGAAGAAATAAAGTACAGCATGGAAAGCTATTTGTAAGCAGGGCTGAAAATGAGCTCCAGGTCAAAAGTTGAGCATGAGTCAGTGATATAGAATAGGACCCTGTATTGAAAAGCTAGCTTTGTTCTAATCAGAAAAAAAAAGTTTAAGCTGAAAGAACTAAAAGGCAATTTTCTGATAATATTCAACACAGATTTTTGCTCTTATTGGGTCTTGCTAAACACAAGGAGGTTCCAACGTTCATATGAAAAGACTGAATCTTGGGAAAAGAGATCCTATCATACAAAAAAAAAAAAATAGAAGTGTACAAAAGCTGTGAGAGTTTTCCTCACCCAAGCAGACACAAAACTCAGGAAAACAGGGTAGGTAGGTAGGCAGGCAGACAGATAGACACATACATATATGCAGAAAGGTACTGATATAAGGTATTAACTTATGCAACTATGGAGGCTGGGGCTGTCCATGACCAGCCACCTGTAGGATGGAGACTCAAGAAAATTAATGTAGTTTGAAGGTTGAGAGAGAGTCAATGGTGTTGCTACTCTGGGCTGAGAACCAGGAGTGCTAAGAGCAGGTCAAGATCGATGTTTCAGCTCAATCAGAGAGCAAATTCAACTTTCCTCCACCGGTTTGTTCTTCTATCCAGGCCCTCAATAGACTCTATGATGCCCACCCACGTTAGGGAAGGCGCTCTGTTTTACCCAGTACACCAATTCAAATGCTAATGCCTTCAGAAAACACCCTCATAAATACACCCAGAAATAATGTTTAATGAGCTATTTGGACATCACTGGTTTAGTTAAGTTGATGCAGAATTAATCATCACACCAGGAATATTCATCCTTCCTTGAACACAGAGACTATAATGTCCAGTTACCTTTAGCTGTCAAAAATCTCTCTCTTCCTTCAAGATTATCTACCTCTTACATTCTCTTTCTTCTCACCCTCCTGCCACCCACAAGAATATGATAGAAAAGACTTAGACATCCTTTCATGCCAGTTGTTATGACTAAGTGATGTTGAGTGGATTCATTTTCAAAGCATTGCTTGAGACTCTATGAAGGACAGAATGAATATAGAGTTCAAAGAAAGTAGATACAGACAATGGACTCAAATTTCAAAAAGGGGGGGAAATGAATTTTCAAGACTATAGGCTAGTAGCTTGATTTCAGCCCATGAAAATATAAAAGAATTTTTGAAAACATCGAAGAATAATATGACCATTTGGACCTGGCATAGGTTCATGCATAAAGATTGTATCTGATTCATATTATTATTATCAGTGTTTAATCATGATTACTAGATTAATATAGTAAAAATCATACAAGATAATGCAAATGACTACTCAGCCTAACTCCTGATATTACCAGCCCAATAAATGATCTTGCTATTAATATAATTATGCCACACTTTATATTCCCTTGACATTTTCCCCTTCCCCTGTCACTTCCTCTGAACCTCAGAAGCCTCACTTTGCTTACTAGTGTCCTCTAGTTTTTATAACTATTTTTGTTTTGTCAAATCATCCGCTATGAAATGTCCCATAATTGTCTTTATCATTCTGACTTCCTTTACTACACATAATTCCCTCAAACTCCTTCCATTTTGTAATAAATAGTAACATTTCATCTTTCCTATGGCTAACTAGTATTCCATTGTGTGGATATACCACATCTTGTTAATTCAGTCTTATATCAGTGGGCACTTAAGTTGTTTCCATGTCCTAACTATTGTAAATAAAGTTACAATAAACATTGTGAGGCATGTGGCTTTTTGAGTTGACAGTTTTATGTTCTTTGAATATGTGGCCAAGAGTGGGCTTGCTGGGGCATATAGTATTTCCATTTTAATTTCAAGGTAAATCTAAATCACTTTCCATAATTATTGCCCCAGTTTATATTCCCACCAACAGTGTAATAAGGTTCCTCTTTCTCTATATCTCCTCCAGCACTTGTAGTTGGGAATATTTTTTATATGTGTCATAATCACAGGTGTGAGATATCTCGTTTTGATTTTTTTAATTTTATATATATGTATTTTAAGATTTATTTATTTATTTATTTATTTATACAAACACTGGGTACAGTCAGAAGCGCGGGAGGGTGAGAGAATTCACCAGAGCCAGAGCGGGGAACAGAACAGGCAGACCGACAAAACACATCTGAGGGGAGCAGCGGGCGCGGCAGGAGAGGTCTGTCATGCCATTTGGGACCCTCGCCGGCAGCCAGGGATTGAACGGGTGCTCGGGGATTGAACCAGTGCTGCAGGATTCAACCGGCGCTGCAGAGGCTGTGGGCAGCTTCGCAGCCCAGTGCTCAACCGCTGCGCCACCAAGGGAGGCCCTATTTTATGTATTTTTTATATCACTTTTCATTTTTGTACAATGTATGCATTTTCATCTTGGTTATATTCCCCATACAATTCCCACCCCCCTTGTTTTGACCCTAATCCCTTCTCCTTTCTGCCCCCCAATAGTGTGTCTCTGGTTAACAGTTGCTTGTTGATTTTAATTTTTACTTTATTATAATTAGCCTTTTTCCTGATCCCTTATTTAGGTTTTCTAAATTCCTGCTATGAGTGACAACATCTGGTATTTTTCTTTTTCTTTCTGGCTAATTTCACTGAGCATGCTCCCTTTCAGCTCCATCCATGTTGCTGCAAATTGCATGAGTTTATCTTTTTTTGATTTGCTGAGTAATATTCCATTGTGTATATGTACCACACCTTCTTGATCCAGTCATCTATTTTTGGGCATTTGGGTTGTTTCCCTAGCCTAGCTATTGTAAATAGTGCCGCTACAAACAGAGGGGTGCGGGTGCCTTTTGGAATTAATGATTCTGTGTCCTTTGGGTAAATACCTAGAAGTGGAATTGCTGGATCATATGAAAGCTCCATCTTTAGCAGGTTGAGGAATCTCCACACAGCTTTCCATAGTGGTTGGACCAGTTTGCACTCCCATCAGCAGTGCAGGAGAGTTCCTTTTAAAGACTCATTACCCAAAGCAGCGATAGCAAAGGCAAAGATAAACCGCTGGGACCACATCAAATTAAAGAGCTTCTGTACAGCAAAACAGACAGTAACCAAAACAAAAAGACACCCTACTGACTGGGAGAAAATTTTTGCACACAACACTAATGATAAAGGACTGATCACAAAAATCTACAAAGAGCTGAAGAGACTCAACAAAAACAAAGTAAATAATCCAATTATTTTTATTTTAACCCTCATTTCTCTTATTTGAAGTCATGATTGGCCTTCTGGATATACCATTTGGTGAATTATATTATTTTAGCAAAGCATTTGACTGTCTCTAATGATAGGTAACTATATAGCAAATCTATAGTAAACAAAAAAAAGTCTGAGATTAGTATACAAACAGACAAATAAACTAATGGAGCAGAATAGAGAACCCAAATATAAATCCACACTATACATACAGTCAAATCTTCTTTGATGAAAGTGCCAAGAACATACAAAGAGAGGGGAAGGGCAGTTTCTTCAATAAACAGTGCTGAGAAAACTGGATATCTACATGGAAAAGAATGACACTGGACCTCTATCTTACCCCACGCACAAAAACTAATTGGAAATGGGTTAAATGTAAGAACTAAATGTAAGAACTAAAATCCACAAAATACATAAAGGAAAATGTAAGGAGAAAGTTCCTTAAAATTGGTCTTGGCAATGATTTCTTGGATGTGACAACGAAAGCACAGAAAACAAAGACAAAAGTAAACAAGTGGGAGTACAATAAACTAAAGCATTTCTGCACTGCAAAAGATATAATCAAAAATTGAAAAGACAACCTACAGAATGGGAGAAAATATTTGTAAACCATATATACCTGATAAGGACTTAATATTCAAAATATATAAGAAGTCACAATTTCTGAAGAGTTAATCCTTAATTGAAGAGAGGAAATCCTGCCATTTGCAACACTCCAGATCAATCTGGAGGACATTATGCTGAGTGCAATTAGCTAAACAGAAAGAGATAAACACTATGATTTTTTTATTCCATTTACATGTGAAATCAAGAGTTGCTGAAGGTTTGGGGGAAAAAAAGAACGCTGTGCATTGTTGGTGAGAATGAAAATTGATAATCACTATAGAAGTATGATGGCTTCTTAAAAAATTAAAATAAAACAACTTTATGATCCAGTAATCCCACTTCTGAGTACATATCTGAGGGAAATGAAATCAAGATCACAGAGAGATATCTGTACTCCCAAGTTCATTGCAGCATTATTCACAATAAACAAGATATTAAAACAACCTGTGTAACAGATGGTTGAATAAAGAAACTGTCATTATAATGACATTATAATAATATAACAGTATAATCATATTCCAAAATAATAATAGTAAATTATTATTCAGCCATGAGAGAGGAAATCCTGTCATTTGCAACACCCCAGATCAATCTAGAGGACATTATGCTGAGTGCAATTAGCTAAACAAAGAGAGATAAATATTGTATGATTTTTTTTTATTCCACTTACATGTGAAATCAAAAAAAAAAAAAAAAAACAAAGGTCTAAGTCATAGTAACATAGTGTATAGTGGTGATAACCAGGGGCTAGAAGGTTGGGGAGATTCTGCTCAAAGGGCACAAGCCTTCAGTTATAAAAGGAATAACCTCCGGGAACTTAGAGTACAGCATGGTGACTGCAGTTAGTAATTATGAGTTGAGTACTTGAAATCTGCTAAGACAGGAGAACTTAAGCATCCTTACCATACACACATACCATGTGATGTGATGAATGTGTTAATTAACTTGATTGTAGTAATCATTTCACAGAGTACTCATACGTCAAATCATCAGATTGCACACCTTAAATATACACAATGTTTTCAATTATATCTTAATTAATAAAACTAAAAAAGAAAAAAGATCCAATGAGTGAATGAACTGAATGAATGAATGAATGAATGATACAATGAGTACAGAAAGATTCTGGGTTAGGTCAAAAAATTGTGAAATGTCCCTCTTGGAAAAGGGACAAAGAAGTGAAGATAGAGTAGTGGGAACTATAGAGGGTTATAGAGAACTCAGGAAATGTGGCTGCCTAGTTGAAATTGAAGGGGCTGTGTAAGAAAATGAGAGTCATGTGCTTAAATTAGGTAAAATTACTTAATTTAACACCAGAGTTAAATCCAATAGATGCTAGGAAGATATCCCAAGCAGGGAACCAATGCTATGAGACCTGAATTTTTGTATTACTCATTAGTAATAAATAGACCATTGTTCCCCCTAGATAAAGATGGGCTGAGGGAAATGGTTAAAACAGGGCAAGGAAATTAGATTAGATGTAAAAAGATCATTATGTGAAAACTTTGTAAAATCTTTCCTAGAGTCCTCAGAAATTTACCACTGGAGTTTCTGCTATGAGGCAAGGGAATTGTTTACATAATTTTCAAGGGCATTTCCATGCCATGGTAAAAAAAATATGTATTAGTGATACAGAATTCCAAAATGTGCCCAGATGCATAGGTTGGGGTCATTCTAAACTGCTCAATAACACGAACAGTAAATCAACTCAAGGAGGAAGAGGAGGAAAGAGAGGAGGAGGAGAATGAAGATTGATAGAAACAGAAATGTTTAATCTATTCCATGGTCCTTGATCTAGGCTGATCCCCGAAAGTGTCTCATCATCCTTCAGATTATCAAGGCAGGAAAACAGGTTGGGAGCCACCAGGTGAAAGTGCAGTTGATCAGTGAATAACACAGGATTGACCTTAGATCCAGATTTTCTTAAAAACAGAGGATGTACTCTTACGGTATCAATAATCCAGTACAGTACTGTATGTATTTTACACTCCTTATGATTTTCTTAACAATGTTTTGTATTCTCTAGCTTACTTGATTGTACAAATACATTATATAGTACATGCAAACATGAAATATGTGTTAATCAACTATTTATGGTATCAGTAAAGCTTCCAGTCAACAGCAAGCTATTAGTAGTTAAGTTTTGGGGGAGTCAAAAGTCATATGTGGAATTAAAACTGTGCAGGGGCTCAGTGCCCCTAACCCCATGTTGCTCAAGGGTCAGCTGTACATCACTGATCCATGCACAATTCCATAGTCGCACTTATATTTCCCTCAGAAATTAGGTAGAACTTCAAGCCCAATCACCAGTCCCAAAATAAGCAAGGGCACCAGAGAGCACACCAACCTAGCTGACTCCTCCACATAAGAAAGATCAGATTTCACGTCTTTGGGGGAAACTTTTTAAGTGTGAGTTGTGTGAAGTGAAATGTGTACGTTATGACGGGTTGACTAAAAAAAAAATTATTTTCTCTATACTCCTACTTTGTAACTGGGGGAGGGGATGGGAGAGGAAGCTGGGGTAAGAACTTAAATTTGTCCATTCAAGAAAACTTCCTTTCCCAAAACAATTTTTTGATCCTGGGTTAGGTTGTAAATCAGTAAATTCTGAGTTCCTCCTTCTCCTAAAGGAAATTCAAGTCCTAGAGGAGTCTGCATATCATTTGTGGACAGGAAAGCTGGCTTCCTATTCTGGCATCCTCTGGAGTAAAGTTGTCCTGCCTAGCCTCTGGGCATCCTTTGCTGCTATTCACTGAGGTTTGGCAGATCCTGCCTTGTTCTTTTTAGCTTCATGCTGTCAACAATGTAGAAGTCTGGAGGCCTAGCCAAAGGTCCTCACATTCTGTAGCCTCCTCATTCTCACCCCCAGGCTTCTTCCATATCGCTGGATCTTCAGGTACATCCAATAAGGGGGTTTTGGTTCCACCAGCCACAAGTGCATACTGCACAATCTCTGGCCCACCAGTCTTGGCCACTCTCATTTGCCATCAGTATGGCACCTAGGTTGCTCTTATTCACAGGCTCTGTGCTGAAAGAGGGGCATCAAGGTACAAATCTTGAGAAACTACAAGCAAGCTACCCTGCCTGAAATTCTGTTCATCTTCACTGCTCCTCATTCCCTCCCCCACCAGGTTCTGCCAGAAAGAATACAGACATATGAGTGTGTTGACATACACAATAATATGACTTACTGTCAAGTCCTCTCTCACCCAGGACCCTCTTCCCAAGTATCAAGAGAGTTCTCCTTGGATTGCACTTTCCCTTCCATTTCCTGGCACAAAAAAAAGGAAAAACGTTTCAACATATACTCTTAGTGGTCAAGGGCTGCAGGGAAAACCACAGATTAATGACAAACGGAAAGTACATTGAGAAATATTTCCAAAAAAATCACTCTTTTACTCAGTGTATGAAAATTGTTTTCATTGTCTACTCCACTAGCCTGACCATTGAAGGGTAGAGACTGTTTTACCTGTTTGAGGGTGTTCCCAACTGCAAATATTGAATATGCAGGAAAATAACACCTAGGAGAGCTTAGTGAGTCAGAGACAAACACTAGTAGGCATTTAATGCACAACAGGATTAGATGATGGAACAGGACAGAAAATTCAGAAACAGCAACACAAACACATATACATCTAAACAACTGATTTTCAACATAGGTACAAAAAAATGCAGCAGAGAAAGGACAATCTTTTCAAAACATGAGGCTAGAACAATCAGATAATCACAAGGGGGGAGGGTATAATGAACTTTATTCCATACCTGTGGTAAGCAGAATGACGCTCACCTCAAGATGTTGAGAACTTAATACCCCCAAACCCATGAATATTTTGAGAGTGAAAAGGCAAGCTACTGACTAAGAAAAAAATGTTTGCAAAACTTATACCTGATAAAGGATTTTTATCTAAACTATATAAAGAACATTAAAAAATCACTGCAGGTTTACTCCACTATCCAGAAGTACATATCCTATGTACCTTTCATAAGCCAAAATTGCAGAAAATGGGCCCCCCTGGTGGCGAAGGGGTTAAGATGCAACCAGTGAAACTCCACAGCCTTTGCAGATGAGTTCCATCCACTGCCAGCCAGGGAGACTCTCCTGCAGTTCCCCTCAGCAGTGTACTTCGGTCAATCTGCCTGTTCTGTTCCCTGCACTGTCTCTGGTGATTCCTCTCACCCCCCACACCTCTGGCTTGTACCCCAGCTCTTGCATGCATAAATAAATAAATCTTTAAAAAAATAAAATAAAATTGCAGAAAGTCAAGAAGCAATTACCATTAATTTACATAGAAAAATTTTTGAGCATCCCCAAACCCAAAAATACCCTGCCAAATCATATCAAATAATATTTAAAACCTAAAATCACACTAACATTTTGCAAAAGCAGGAATGATATAATAAATACACACTTGTATAAAGTAGTTCTGGAGAAGGAGCTTGTGGGTGGGAGAAACACTTGCAGCTTGGGGTGCATATTGCCCATATAAGAGCTTACTGCAAAACAAACACTGAACATTATTTTTGCTTTTCACTTTTTATGGTAAAAATGAAAATCCTCTTTGGATTTCTTTTGATAAGCAAAAACAGGTACTAATGTAGGCCTTCTGCAGTAGCATAGTAGTGTAATGAGAATTTTCAGAATGCAGGGGATAGCTGTAATAAGAAAACACACAAAAAAAAGACCACTAAACAAGATCACATAAAACGATATGTGGATGTCAAGAAAGCACATAAAAAGATGTCCAAAATCAGTAGTCACAGAAAAATGAATTATGTTACTCATAAGTAGAGGCAGATTTTTAAAAGGGGCCTGAGGAACCTTTTGAGGGATATGAAAGTTCACTAAGCTGATGGTAATGATGGTTTCATGAATGTATACATATGTCAGAACTTATCAAATTATCTACTTTGAACATGTATGATTTATTGCATGCTATTTTTCCCTTCATAAAGCTGTTTCTGAAGTACAATAAGAAAAAAATTTAAATACGTAAAAGGCAGACAAGGTAACAGGTCAATCTGCCTGTTCTGGTCCCTGCACTGTCTCTGGTGATTCCTCTCACCCTCCCACACCTCTGGCCTGTACCCCAGCTCTTGTATGCATAAATAAATATTTTTTAAAAATAAAATAAAATTGCAGAAAGCCAGGAAGCAATTACCATTAACACCAGACGAGGTAAAGGGAGGTTTCTTTGGCCGCCTAGCAAAAGCATACTCAGTTAAGTGAGGGTGTCAGGACCATGGAGGGAGAACTGCTGACGCTCTCAACTCACTTGAGGGGTGTAGTCTGGGGTGATGGATGGAAATCTTTGGGGCAGGAAGAAAGAGAAGAGTTGGAGGTGGAATGCTTGACAAGGTAAACCAGTCAGCTGACTCATCCTCCCTTCCCCGAGTGTGTTGCAGGAGTTTATCGAGGGGCCAAATGGATCCCTAATTGCTGCTTCCTATTCCTAAGTATGTATGAACAGGTTTTTATAGATTTCTTTGGTGTCCCACGTGTAAACTGCGCAGTGAAAATAACCCTTTGCAATCAGTAACTAGACACTACCTCGCCAAAATCAATAGGGGAACGACACCACCGGGAAACTCCCGCGTCTCCAGCCCCAGCCTCTTCGGGTCCGCTCCACCTCCAGGGCCGCGCCCCGCCCGGCCAGTTCCTTCCGGACGGGCCTCTCCGGGCGGGGCGGGAGGCGGAGTCGGCGCTGGCCCCGCCCCCGGTGCCCGCCCCCGCCCTGCGACGCGCAGCCTCGGCCGGGTCGCTTTACGGCCGGAGCGGTGGGTGTGGGTCCTAGACTTGAAGTTGGAAGCGGAGCTGAGGGGCGGGGAAAGAGGTGTTTTGCGGCAGGACGTAAGTGACGCCGTAGGTGGCGCGACAGCAGCTGGGGGCAGAAGAGCCGGGTTCGTGTTTCCCGGGCCGAACCGGGTTGTGGGGGGCGCGGGGCCTGGACGCGGGCGGTGGCTGGAGGCCCACGGGGACACTATGGGGAAGGGGAGTGGGGCGGTGGAGACCTTGGGCTGCTTCGGGCCATGGGTGGGGCTGGCGGGCTGGCGGGCTGGAGCGCTGGGTCCAGGCCGGGGATCTGACCGGTGGTTGGTGTCCCCTGAACCCGCAGCGCTGCCTGTCTTGACCTCGCCATGAGGCCGCAGCAAGCGCCGGTGTCCGGGAAGGTATTCATTCAACGAGACTACAGCAGTGGCACACGCTGCCAGTTCCAGACCAAGTTCCCTGCAGAGCTGGAGAACCGGGTACGCAACCTGGCTTCCCTCACCTGCTCTGGGGCGAGGGCGGGAGACTCCTCGGGGTCGGGAGGGAGTGTGCGCCGACTCCTGGCCCTCCTGAGTGTCTCGAGGCTAGAGGGAGGGTCAGGCCTAGTAGGGGCCTTGGCCAGCGGTGAGGAAGAATAAAGCCAAACCCCCAGGTGTAACTCTAGAGTGCTCAGCGCTGAGAACCTGTACCTAGCCGCCGCCTTCTTCCTTTGCTCTCCCCCACCCACACACGCAGAGTTATTGACAACAGTGATGAAGAACTAATTCTTGAGGCTCCAGGCCACCTAACTCAGCATGTTGTAAACTGTATCCTTTTACCACGCCACGCAAGAGAAATCATATTCTCCTCACAAGTGTTTGTAGGGCCTCTGTGCTGCTCGCACTGCTCGGCAGCAAGGGTTTATTAAGTGCTGTTCCAGTCGTGCTGATAGTCCTTGGAACCTGAAATACGTGGAGCATCTTATGGCCTGCACAGGGAAACCTCTCTGAATAAGAAATCTTGTCACTCAAGATTATGATCACTGGGAGCCACCTGTGTTGTGTTGATTTACATATCAAAATTGTCATCAGGACCTTAAGAATAAGGAAGAATAATGTTTCCCCTTTCTTCTGACTTGGGGGTAGGGGGTTCATTCTATCTTATTTTAAAGGTATAATGAAGTATGCTTATGTGCGTGAATGTGTTTTTTTATGTTCACGTGTATTCATTCATTCACTCAAATAGTGACTCCTGGTCTTCAGCCAGATGACTTTATCTTCTGTTTCCTGTTCAGAGGTCAATTTCTGGTTAGAGCTGAGCAGGTTAGAGCTCTTTCCCCTTTGACAGCTAGGGTAAGGGACTGAGAGGTGATTAGGCATGCTATGGGTGTGGAACTGAGAAATGCTGGTCATGGAACAAGTGGGTGTAGATGAGTCTGTACTACAGAAATGTGTAGCAGTCATTTCAAGTCACCTTGTAGTGAGGTTGTTCTACCTGATTGCCAAGATTAGAAAATCAACAATGATCAATTATAGTGACCTTCAGTTTGTTTTAGAAACATAGGCAGGTTAGTGACTCAAGTATGTTTCTTTAAGTGCAAATTAAAGATCAAGCCTGCCTTATAAAGATGGTTTGTAGATTAGCTTGTTTGTGACATGCTTATAAATGCTTGTTTGTTGTCACCATGTTATTGTTATGAATTAACTTAGCCTGACACTAGGTGAACATTTCCAGAGTGGTTGGAATTGGTCGAAATTGAATCTCTTACCTATTGCTTAACATCACATTTAACATGTTTTACATATTAGAAATTACATGAAAGGGATTAAATGTTTCATTTTTAATCCATTTATAAAAACTGATATACTATTTATGTACTTTCAAATCAAGTTAAACTTCTAACTTATAGTAGAGTCAGATATTTGCCTTCTACTTTGTGTGTGGCAGAGTCTGTTTTTTAGTCCAAATACAGAAACACAGTGTAGTCACAGCACTCACCTGATTCTTAAAGGAAGTTGATGTTTCTAAATTCTAAAGTTGCTTCTGACTTCTGATAGCCCCAAATAGCTTGGGATTCTGAATACTATGTGGAATGTTATATGGTGGTGTTCAGTTGTGCCTTTGAATTTTTTTTTCTTTTTAAATGTTTGGGTTAAAACACTAGCTTATACTAGTTCAAAGCTTTCCCAAACAGTTTGGGTTTTTTTTTGTATTGAGAATAAATTTAAATTACAGGTTTAAATTTTACTTACTTTGTTTGAGAGAAAATTGAAAGGTTTCTTTCTTTGTCTACTGCTTATCCTAGACATTGTGCTGATTGCTTTGCCACTGGAGCTGATTTCTTTTTGTGAGAACATCACACTTGGCAAACTAATATATAAATGTCTTGTGTTACTTTAAAGCATTACGCACATACACACATTTGTACCCTTTAATTTGAGACTGAGGACAAGTTCTGTCTGTTAACAAGTTTACTTTCTTCATTGACTCTTAGAATGTAATCTTTTGATGCTGAAATGCTTTGTTGCTAGGACCGTTCTTTAAAAGAAGTTTCATTCTCACTTGAAGCAAAATACAGACATTTTAGGCACCCTGGGTCTGGGCAGAAGGAGGGATAAATGATAAATGCCTGTAACTGAGGCATTTGTTCCCCTATTTACCTTTAAAAATATCTCTACATCTGGTAGTAGAAATTACCTTTGACTTGCCACCTTTGCCTTTTGATCACTTGAAGCTTCAGCCCCATGTTTCTACCACATAGTTAAACAAGAAACAAAATTCTGGGAAAATGAGTCTGAATACTATTTCCATTCTAACTTGGTTTTTGGTTCAAATTTGTATTTGTTCAATGTCGTATTTGTTGTATTTGTATTTGTATTTGTTCAATGTCGCATAAGTCAAAATTCTGATTTAAATAGTGTCAATGTCAAGTACCTGGGGGAGATCCTGACTGCTGTTTTATATGCGTAGCCCTTAAAGGCAGTGAGATTCAAGTGCTCACATTTGTTCTGTTGAGCCTTGCATATCACCTATGGCTTTGCCTTTACTGCTATACAGCATGCTTTTTCTCTTTTTTCCCACTTTTTAAATAACCTTTCTAAGACTTCTTGATTTGTTAAAGCTTTCATTCCTTTTATTATTATTATTACTAATCTTCTTTAAAAAGTCCTTCACCTTGGTTTCTCTTTTAAATACATGATTTGCCTCCATGCCATAAAGCATTGAAATATTGGAATGACTTTGAAGAATTAGTATTTCTGATATAATCAGTAATTCCAATCTGAAAGAAATAAAATGTTTCAGGATTGGATTCATGGTTTTGTCTCATTTTATATCCAAGGAAATATAAGTAATTCAAAAAACTTTCTTTGTCAGATCATAACATTGTAAGCAAAGCAACAGAACATTTTACTAATAGACAAACTAAAGGTGTTCGTTAATTTCAGCATAATTAATTATGTGAAGATAACAATTTACCATTAATATTTGTTCACTGAGCTATTCTCCTAAGTCTGTTTTCAGGGAATGAGAACTCTGATGTAAGTTCCTCAGGCAGTCCTTAGCATACATCTGTAAGTGGTAGCTTAGTGAAAGAACACTACACTGGCTCTTAGTACCATCTCCACCCAGGCACTCCTTATCAGAAATTCTTAATATTCTGGGAAATTAAAAGTAGCTCCTTAAAAGAACAATTTATGTTAACATTTTAATAAGTTTACATTAAACTTTTTCATACCATTGGCTCGAATCTCATTGTTTTTTCCACACAAAGAACAAAACAGTGATTACAAATTCTTCTGACCTAAAGGATTTTAATGATTTAAAAGTGTTAATGATTTTTTTATTCTTTAAAATATTATGTTCTTAGGAATAGTTTGCCTTATACTGTTGTGAGGTCCTTTCACTATTTGTATATAAAGCTTCATAAAAGAGAGAATTCATAATTTGTTTTAGGAATAAGAGATAGTATGTCAGAGAAGGTCTAGAATAAGGAAGATATGCTGTGCTTTGTTACCAAGAATGATAGTATTGGACAAAAATACTAATGGACCTTTGAAATCCTGGAATAAAGTATTGAGATTTGAAATCTACAGAGTACTGTTAGAAGAAAATAAAGTGATACTGAAAGATAAAAATAAAAGCAGATGATTAGAGTGAAAAAATGAATGACAATGGTAGTTTTAATATAAATGCAAGATAATGGTGTCACTGAATAGAAAGGCAATGGGAATGACTTGGTGTGAAGAGTGTTGTGGTTATTTGAGACTTTGCCTTGATCAATGGGCTTTTTGTCATCAAGTAATTACTATAAAAGGGATGCGATAATTGAGTTATGTTTACAATACAGAACTTGCACCTTTTGATCCTTCTATATAAAATGCCCTTTTTTTATCTAGTAAATTCCCAGTGGTTGGGTACTCAATTTAAGATTAACTGCTCTCACCAGATAAAGGGAACTTCTCCTTCCTTTTGTGCCCCCACACTATGTATGCCTTTATTATCGTATTGTCAATTTATTGTGTTTTTGTGTTCATATAGTTACTCTGCTTGGGTAAACTTCTTGAGGACTAAGACTGTCTTAGTCATTTTTCTCTAAAGCCTATCATAATACCTGCTGGTAGATGCTCAGTAATTGTGAATATAAGTAAATGGAAAGATGGATGGATTATACAATTCAGTTACTTGAAGTTCAGAATAAATAAATACTGTACTGAGCCTTAAAGATATCCAGTATCCATTAGGGGTAAAATTAAACTCTAAGCAGTTTTGGTAACTTGGATTTAATCACCTAAAATTGTGACAGAACAGCAAAATAAAAGAACAAGCCTAGTGAGCTGTTCATCTTTTTTTCAAAACTTATTGTAAATTCTTTATTTCCTACAGATTGATAGGCAGCAATTTGAAGAAACAGTTCGAACACTAAATAACCTTTATGCAGAAGCAGAGAAGCTTGGAGGCCAATCATATCTTGAAGGCTGTTTGGCTTGTTTAACGGCATATACCATCTTCTTATGCATGGAAACTCATTATGAGAAGGTAAGGCTACATTTGTTTTCACAAAATGTCTTTACAAATCATAGTGACGATTGTTACAAAATTTAAAGGAACATAATAATAACTCATACTTTGTTGTTGTATCCACATCACATAGACAAGAGTCCTGAGTCTTTCAGAAACAGGTCAAAATTGATATGTCAACTTGATGTCAGTGTTTAAATTCACTACATTTAACAATGTAGAAAATCAATATTCTCAATCTGTTAGTGGGCAGACTGAGGGGTACCCCAGGACACTCCCAAACCTGCCATCTGCTGCATAAAGACAGCAGCTCTTTATGCAAGAGTAAAGCATACTCACAGTATGCTTACACAGTATGTAAGACCTTTGATAGAAAAGAACTTTAGTAGAATTTTGTGAATAAAGAGGGAAGAAGAGAAAGGATATCATTTCCCATTAAAACACCCAGAGTTACCCATTCCCCTCTTGCGTAAATGCCCAGAAAGACAGGGTTGGACCAAAGTATAGCATTGAGGCCCAGAAGCGTGCCCTGAGTCTAAAGCACCTGCTGGGAAACCATAGGGAAGGGGCAAAAAGTGACAGGCAAGTCTGGGACCAACAGAGCAAAATGAAAGTACAAATCAAGATAATGGCTGCCATTATCAGCCTCCCATATGCCTCACCCACATCTCTTCCAAGCGTCTCTATATGTCTGAGCTTCATGTGTCTCCTTACACTTCCCCCAAATCCCTGGTACAAGTCCAAAGCTGAGAAACAAGTCTTCCTTCCGTGTCACTCTGCTCCACGTGTCTCCTCCAGGTCCTCTCTAGCTTCCCCTCACCCCTCAGCTCCATCATTCATTAGATAGGACCAGGGAACATGGAACCTCCCCTGTTTATGGGAGTCATCTCTGTCAGTTCCACCCAGCTTTCTGAGAATCCTTTTATTGTATTTCCCCAAATTTCTGTCTTCAATCTTACCTTCCCTCCTGAGTTCTTTTATTTCTTGCCTGATAACATCAGAGATGATTTTTTTCCTCTCCTGAGTGCTTTTCTCTTTCCAACTACCAATCAAACCCAGAGTTGCTGACTTCTCAACTTAAGTTGTCCAAAAGTCATACTTCACACCTCCCCATTTTCAGTGCCATCGCTAAGTATAGAGGGAAGAGAGGGAAAAATGTATCAGTTTCAAAGACAGAAGTGTTTTCCATTTTCATTAGTTTTTCATAATTTCTTCTGCCACACTCCTAATTTGTACCCTCCTAGACTATTGAAATAGTCAACGGATTAGTGTGATTTCTTCCATTCTTTTACTTTTCCAAAATGTCTGCTGCTGTCTTCATAAAACAGCCTTACATTGCTGACCACTTTTGCTAGATCAGAAGTCTTCCCAGCTTCCCTTTATTGCCCCTGAGCAAAGTTCACCCCCCTTCTCAGGCTGACCTCCAACTTACCTTTCCAGCTTTCTGTCTCCCTGTCTCCACTCCCTTCATCTCTTTATTTTTCAGCCAAACTTGATTTTTCGCTAGTCAGTACCCTTCAATGTTTTCTCCCACCTAGAATGCCAATCTTCCAGGCATTCAAATCTCACCAGTCTCTATGTCCCTCTTGATCTAACTTTTCCTTAACTTTTCCAATCAGAAAACATTCTCCCCTCTTTATAACTAACAACATTTTATCTTTATCTGTCCTCTGACACTTATCACTCTCTACTTTGGAATGTGGCAGTTTACATTCCTCTTTTATTTGCCCTTCAAGTGTTTTTCTTGCAATCAAGGACAACCCCCTTAACCATATAGTATCCCTCTTTATGCCTAATACCTTGCCTTGGGAATGCAAAACACCCGTTGAAAGTATGTTAAATGAATAACTTTAAGTTAATCACAGTAAATCCCTATTATATCATTAAATTCTGACCATGTTTAGAAATGAAATGCTCTAAGGATATCTGTGTTATATCTCACCTGATAATGCTCCTGTGATTGTCATGTACTCCTGTGTAGTAGAAAGCAGATACCGTTGCAGCTGAAACATTTTGAGCTAGTGACTGAAAATGCTGCTATATTCTTCATTAACATCCTGTGTGTGATCTTTTATGCTTTATATTTCTATATCATATAAAACTATATTTATTAACTAAATGAAGAGTTTATATCTTACATGTCACACAGAGAAGCAGCTTTCATTCCTGTTTAATATTCAAAGTCGGAAGTTATAAAGGATCAGTATCTGCTTTCAGTCTGTTTTTGTCTTAGTAACTTCTCTTCACATTAGTTGTGAGTGAAAGGACCAGGATTCATTCTTTCAAGATATAGTTACCGAAAACCTACTATATGCTAGACAATGTACTGGGGTATAACTAAGTAGGGCAAACATGTTCATTGACCTTATGAAGGTTATAATTTAGTGGTAGCAATTGATGATAAGAAGGAAACAGCCAACAAAATTATATGTTATGGTAAATGCCTAAAAGGAAACAAACTCTCCTATGATGGAAAATCATAGGAGATCCCTAATTTGGATTGTATGGTCAGAAAAGGCCTCTGAGCTGATACTTCAGCTAATATGAGAAGGACAGCGTGTGAGGCCATTCAAGCACTGAGACCAATATATGCAATGGTCTGGTGGGATTGATGAATCATGGGAAATAAAAGAAGACTGGTGTGGAAGAGGAGTGGAGAGAGAGTAACTCGAGATAGAGTTGGAGAAGTAAAAAGGAGCTATATCGTGAAGGAATGTGTAGTCCATGGAAAGAAGTAAGAATTCATTTTCAGTGTGAGGGTAAGTACCAGAGATTTTAAGGAAGAGAGTGAATGATCAGATTTACTTTCCTTTTAAAGAGATCTCTTCATTCTATAAGAAAAATAAATAAAAGCAGAAGTAGGGAAGCCAGTTAGGAAGTTCCATCTAAGTCTAGGCAAGAGATGGTAATAACTGGGACAATAATGGAGCAACAAAAATGGAAGGAGGTAAACAAATCAAGTTATGTGTTGATAGTAGAACCAGAACTTGAAGAAGCTCTGAATGTGAGAGGGGAGGGTAAGGTTGAAATCATATGGAGGAAAGCCTTATCATCCAGGAGTAGTCACTTAAAGAAGTATATGTTATGCAAATTTGAGGTAGAAATACATCCAGAGTACTTTATTTTGTGCTTAAACTATTAGATGCTTGAGTTCTCATTTCAATATAGGTTTTGAATTTGTTCATAAGCTTTTAACTAACTTCTATTTATCCATGTACATTTGCTGAAGTAGATACAGGATACCTCCTCCTGATAGATACTTACTTCTGATGTTGTTAAAAGAAATCTGTAATTGGGTGCCAGCCCAGTCATTTACTAATTATGGGATCTCAGACAAGTTAATATGAGTCTGAGTTCCCTCAAATATAAAATGATTCTTAGGATCATTTCCCATATGGTAGACACTTAATAAAGAATGTTTTAAAATAGGTTTACAAATTAAATAGTATATGTGATTTAATCAGATATTTGTGAACTCACAATTTTTGTATTTTAAGTATGATTGCCTTTAAGCAGCTGCTAATGTATTTAACTGCTAAAACATTTTGCAGCTTTTAATTGAAAATTCTTTGGATAATTAATCTTGGAAGATAGTTCTCAGTATCATAAATACAGAGAAAATTGATTAATCCCAATACATGTTTTAACTTGGGTTCATAGTGAATATATAAGACACTACTTTATAAGTCTAAGAATGTCTCTTTTAAGAAAAATTGTTAAATGTGTAGTGTATTTTTTATAAAATGACAGAAATATACAACACTAAATTCCCCCATTTGTCACTTAAGAATTTCTGTGCTTTTAGTTTCTACTTTATGAACAGACAGTATTGAGTCATTTCTTAATGTTTTTAACACAAAAGCTTATAGTCTACAAATAGTGCACCAAATATAATAGTGCTTACACTTTGTCATGCGTGTTAAATTTTTTGAAATTGTGAAATGGGCCCTTTAAAACTCACTAGAACAATCATGTATTTTTCCCTAATGTGCTATTTATTGATTTAAAATGAAGATAAAGACTTCAGTGTTATTTCTCTATTGTGGCTACACATTACAATTAGGGAACAAATGGGCTTGTAGAAGATTCTTCTCTCAGTAGCTATCTGCCTCGTTATCAACTAGAAAATACCCCTTCTGCCTCTATACTGTAATCTGTAAAAGGAACATAGAAGGAACTTATTTTCTGAAGAGAGTAAAATCCTAATGTTCTCCCTTAGCCTCAATTTAGTTTTTTTTTTTGAGAATGGACTTCAGTTTAATGTTCTCAACGAGACTAATAGTCTTTTTCTGAAGTTTGATCATGTTTTAGTTTTGTAAATATACAGATTGAGGTTTTGAGGATAACAATATGATTTGGTATTATAGTATATTTTAATATTAATTTACCAAAAATAATAAAATATGAGTAAAATGTCAACACCAGATATTTGGAGAGTGAGAATGGTGCTTTGTCCTATCTGGTATACAGTATGAGTTTACCTGTACTAATGCTTTCTTACTGCTAAGAAGTCTTAATAATTTAAAAGCATCTTGTTTAGGAGTGTGCTACCTTCACCAAAATAGTGTAAGAGGATTTGGAGCTTATAAAAAGGAAAACTAATTGTTTTCTTTCTGAACTGATACTCACATCGACTGATACTCACATGTTATTAAAGTTTAAATAAAAACCTTGTACAACAAAGTTTTGCTTGAATAAAAAAAAGGAATGTTATTTCTTTGCTGGTAATCTGTACCCAAGCTAAGAGGGAGGAAAGCTGTTCTGAAGGTATCCTTTCTTTGAAACCAGCCATGCAAACATTTTTCTGAGTGTCCCCCTAGTCTTAGTGGGCTGGGATGAGGGGAAACTGACTCTCCAATTTCCAGTTCTGGCAGGTGAGCTGAGAAGGAAATTGGAGATCGAGAGTCCAGAGTTGGGCACTTTTATGGACCACTTCTTTTTTCAATATTTTATCATAATTGACACTGTGACAGGAAGAATAGTGTCTAAGATTTTTTTGCTTATAAAGACCAAGCATATCTCAAATTCTTTGAAAGCTGAAAATAGAAGAATGATATATTACTTTAGGTAATTAGGTGGAAAGAGTATTTTCTTTAGAAATAGTATTCTTAATTTCATATATAAAGAACTGTAGATTGCTTTAAAGTATTTTCCTTCAGTAAGAAAATTTGTTATATAAACCACAATTTTAAATTCTCGGTTTATACAAAGCATCTAAATTGTAAAATCCTAATTTGTTAATTTGATCTGGTACATTAAACAGCTACACTTAAGCCATTTCTTAATTTCCTACTTCATTTTCAAACATTTTTTTTCTCCCTTTGTGTTGCAGTCATATTTATCTGTCACTTTATCATATGCTGGTAGTGTGAATTTAAAAAAATATAGTAATTAAAGAGCTGGATCAAAGTCTCTTTGAACATTAGAGCCAGAAAACAATTATGATGACTTTGATTCTGAAATAAAACATGTAACTCTTTGATTTTGGATATAGCTATTAAGATTTATTTTCTTCTAGCTTATCTGTCTCAGAATTGCCCTTATTAAAGCTGGAGATTTGGCAATTTCCAGAAGTTCCTTTGTATCCTATCTGGTTTTTGTCTACATTTGCTTTGACTTTTACAACCTTAATACTAAACTTATAAATTGAGGTTACCGTCCAGGACACAAGCAAACTACAGAGTAGCACTACATGCAGTCATGGAAGTGATATAAGACACTTGTAGTCATCGGAAACTCCATGGCACCTAAGGCCACATGCTTTACAAAGGAAATAAACTTTTAATTTTAAACTAATATAGGCCAACTCTGTATTCTTACTTAAAATAGATGAAAACACAAAGAAAAGTAGTAGTTCTTAAATGTTAAAGGCAAAGACCGAACTATCCTTGATATTAGAAGATGTCATTAACAACGCTTTACACGCAGGGAGAGATAAAAGCTTACCTAGCCATTATGTGTATAATCATTATTTCTCTGTATCCAGGATTGAAGTGGATAGGAGCTAAGGAGGAGGGCCTTGTTTCTTACCATGCTTTATATGGCATTGAAGATAGCTGTGACTTGAAGGGCTTATCATGCTCTGCTTTATGCAGTTGAGCCAAATAATCAGAGTTACAGTCCTCCATATTAATAGCCATATGACTTGCTTTGAACACTAATTCCACTGACTGAATATTTTGAGATCCTACTGATACTTAAAGGGAAATCTGATGCAATTTTTAAAAACTGTGTTGTTTCTTTCTGTCAGGTTCTGAAGAAAGTCTCCAAATACATTCAAGAACAGAATGAGAAGATATATGCTCCCCAGGGGCTCCTCTTAACAGATCCTATCGAGAGAGGACTTCGAGTTGTATCTTTTTAGCCCAGATCATAAGGTCTAAAATCTATAACAAGGAAGTTTGATGGTACCATTTGGCATTAGCTAGAGAGAATTTAACTACCTTCTCATGTATTTGCCCTAGGAACCTTCATGTGAATTGCATACATAAGTCTCCTATCTTCCACCATTTTTTCCTAAAATATGTCTCTCCTTCCTTTGCATTATGCAGTATTCTGTGGGTTGTTTAGTTATTCTGGTTACCGTCTTTCTTGGTGGTTCTGAGGGCATCTTGTAGTAATAATGGGGGTGGTATGAGTAATGCATTTCAGCTGCAGAAACTGAACCTAAAGCCCCTTTGAAATGCATAAACTCATAATGTGTGGTGAGACTTGTCATCCAAATGAATTGCAGTTCCGTGGGTTCATCTGACTAGTTGAAATCAGTTACAGCTGCCAGATGTATAATTTCATTACCTTTGACATACTGTGCATATTTTTAGAGGCAGTAAGCTTTGAAAGTCACTAAGTGAATTTCGTAAATAAAATTGCAAAAAACTAATTTAACTTGATAACTGGAGTAATGGATAAAATAATTTTTTTAAACATAGGTCAGATAATCCCAGGCCTTCCGGCCAATAATAACCTCAGCAATTTTATTATACTTTGCATCAATGATTCTTAAACTTTCATAAGCCATGAACCCTCTCCCAAGAAAAAGTTTACATATAATTTTAGGGCATTTTCAACCCCTGAATTCATTACTTTCATGAATTCTTGGTTAAAAACTCACTTATCCTAAAATAAAGCATCCTTTTAGAGAATTTTTTTTCCCAAAAAAAAAAAAAAAATAGTATTGTGGGTAGCACAGATACACTCTACATGCAGAGTACTACAAGCAATTACATTTCTAAAAACAGGGTGAAGAAAGCATGTTTAACTTAGGAGAAGTTTTTAAACAAAGCAGATTGAGAAATAGTCTGTGCAGATTACATACATCTGCTTTCCCTAGTCCCCTTTTATATATTATGTCCTTTTCAGTGTTTTCTTAACAGCCATGCTGTTAGATTGAAATTACCATTTATGAAGACAGAGGCATGAGCAGTGGAAGATAAACCATAGAATTAAAGGTAAATATAAAATGATTTATTTGCAGTTTTTGCAAATTTATGGAATGCATGTATTTTCTTCCCTGCATGGTAAAAATAGTTAAAAAGGTGTATATCCTCTATCTTGATTTAATATTTAAGCCATTCACTGAATTTGCTTGATATGTAAAATGTATATTTAACCTAAGTTCTATTTGATCATATAAAATTTAATCCTGATTTTGCCCCCTGTATTACTTTCAGACTGTTTTTTGGTTGGTGTTGTTATTACTTTGTGTTTCGTTTTTTGTTTTTGTTTTTTCTTTCTTTTTGGAGTTTGGGGCATTTTCTTGTTACAATAGGCATTTAAGTTGTTGGATTTCACATGTCAGAATCAATTCAGGTATTTCCCTGTCTAAATGACTTACATAAACCCAAAGGAACATTTCAGAGGAGAGTGAAGGAGTTCTTAATACTTCATTTACTGTGTTTTTTTTTTTTTCATTCATATATTGTAGTTAAGTGGCTTCATAGCCCTGTAGAAAAAAAAAAAATAACTAACTTTGTGGGTACAACCATCATTTAATTCTTTTATTTAGAATGTTTGTTTCTGTATGTCTATATAATGATGCTCTTGAATAAGTGAGATACAGATTAGTTAATACTAATAGCATTCTGTTGGCAGAACATGTAGAACCAACCCATGGTACATTAGCACAGCCTTCTAAGTGATCGAACATCATCCTTACTGTTTCTGCCAGTAGTCTTCTGTTGCTGCATTTTCCTAATTGACTACTTCTACGTGCATTAATCACTAATTAACAGACAGAGTCTACCAGAGCTGATATATTCCTTCTCAGAACACCAGTAATAGTGGCAGCTACTGTTTTGAGGCACCTGCTTGCTATGTGCCAGATATTAAAACAAAAATGGTATTGCTACTTCTCACAAGAATATTGCCGAGTATTTCCTCCATTTACAGATGAGGTATCAATAGATGAAAGGATATTCTTCCTAAAGTGAGAAAGCTAACAAGTAATACAATGTAATATGAACCCAGGTGTAACTGACCATGAAACCCCTGTTTTACACTTATCACAGCAGAAATACAGTTAATCGGATGACTCTAAGTGTTTATCACCTTGTTTTCTTGTTCCGTGTGGCTTATTTGTTGTGTTTTTTACAGTAGATATTTATTTTAAATAACACATTTGCAGCTCCAATAGGTTCTAATTGTACCAACTTTATAAAAATACTTTGAGGCAGTTGCAGCCATTGATTTTGACTACATGATTATTTCTTTGCCCATTCTTCTGTCTCTCTTCTTTCCTATGTAACCTCTTCCAGATATGGTTCAAGGTAGAATTTATCCTCCTCATATTTTGTCCACTGTTCTTTAGGCAAGACCTGCTGCTTAATGGTAGGTCCAGTCCTCTTTTAATGGGAAACATCCTGTTGTTATAAAGATCCCCAGGAAGTTTTTTATAGTTACTTTTACATCATCATCCTCATATAGTGTATCGTCTTGCATTAACCCCAGTTTATTGAATCCTGCCTCATTGTAATATTATTTTCAAATACCCTCCAGCCACCAGCTTGATGCTGCAACAGCTGGCCTGCCTGCCATTTTGACTGGGACTAATATGTTTTTTAAAACATACTTAAAAAAAATTTTCTGAGGCCAGCTCCTATGCCCTTCATTGAATCCTACAGACCAACCAGTCCTTCAGAGCTGCCTTCTTTTAGCACTAGTGAATGTATCACCTTAATTCTTGAAAGGCAAGGATCTAAATAACGACATCTTTTGCCACATATTTTATTTCTTTAAAAGGGCTTCATTTTGATGTACTTGTCCATAAATTTTCCCACATACAATTTTCAAACTGTTACTTCTCAAACAAGCTATTAGGAATCCTATGTATGGGTTTTGTTATATGCCATTAGAATAAGTTTGTTTTATCAACTGCAGCTGCACTGATTTGGTACAACCCATTTGTCATGACTCATTTTGTAACCATTGTTGCAAAATATAAATGTTTCTCTGAGATGGTATGGGGTTTTGAACAATTAAACACCAGAGACTAATCTATCAATATTCAAACAAATGAGATTTTAAAATAGGAAAGATTTACATTAGGGACTTCTGGATAGTTTCATGAATGCAAACATTTTTGTTCATTGCAACTTAGTTTTCAGAGTTGTGTGTTCCTCAGAGCCCAAGATCCAGTGTGGGCTGAGGTCTTGCGGAGTGGGAAAATCATACAAATAATGAAATCAGTTCTCCCGTTTTTCTTAAATCTAGAGGCTGTCTTCAGATTGAAGCTTTATGTGGGAACTAAATAATTTATTTAAAAGTGTACAAATTGTGGATGTGGCTTTTTTGAAAAACTTTAAACAGAAATATTGTGCTCTTTAAGTTTATTTTTTTAAATATCTTTATAATAGACAGATGGTGTTTCCTTTCTTTAAATTGTCTTATTTAAAAATGGAATATTTAATTCTGTCACAATAAATTCATGATAGTAAAATAGCTAATATTTATTGGCATACTTACTTTTTTTTTTTTTTTTTAAGATTTATTTATTTATGTATACAACAGCTGGGATACAGGCCAGAGATGCAGGGGGTGAAAGAATTCACCAGAGACAGATAGAAAACAGAACAGGCAGACTGACTGAAATACACTGCTGAGGGGAGCAGCAGGCGAGACAGGAGAGGTCTGCTTCACCATGTGGGTTGCTCCCTAGCCAGTCAGGTATCGAACTCATGCTGCAGAGGCTGCGGATTGCTTCATGGTACGGTGCTTAACCCCTTGTGCCACCAGGGAGGCCCTAAATACTTACTTTTAACTATGAAGACTCTGCAAAACAGATACTGTTACCCAGTTTTTCTAATGAGGAAACAGAGCGGAGAACTTCAGTTACATGTCCAGGGCTAAAATTTAATAGGTAGCAATTAATGTGACCTGTCTCCAGATTCACTACTTAACCCTGTACTATTGCCTCTCATGACATGATTGGTTAGAGATGGAAATACGCAAGACTTGGATTTCTAACTAATGAACTTTGAACTTACTTGGACAAGTAGTCAGATACAAGTATTTTATTAGATAGACCCTGGATTAATTGAAGCATATGTCAGCTGGAATAACAGAGCTGTCTTAGAAGTTACTTCATCATCCCTTTCTAAATTACTTTTCCCTTCTAATTATAGATCACACCTCCAGCTGGGACCCTCATCTATCCACTGGCCGATCGCAGAGTGTCCCCTACCTCCTCTCCAGAGCATCATTCCTTTGTATCTGCTGCCAGAGCCACGGTGCCATTTACTCCAAGGACTAACTTTCTAAAATTCCACATCTGGAGTGACCTCTAGTCGCTCAGCATCCACTTTGTGTCTCCAAATTGTGTAGAACTCTGTAATCTTTTGATTAGTTTCTGAGAAAACACAATGAAGCATTTCACTTTTTTTCATTCAAAGCCATTAACAAAATATGCAGTTGGTCAACCCACCACAAAGTTCATATTTTATCTGCCACCAATACTAATGGTTCTCTTTATTCCTTTGAGCTAGCTTCCAAATGGCTCTAGACTTCAACAAGTCCTATCTTAACCAGTGCTGAGTTTTATTCCCCCAAATTAATCATTATTTTTCTCCAGGATTTTGGTGACAGGTAGTGGTTTTACTAATGCATTTCCCAGATTTCAAAGAACTACCAGTTTTGCTATGACTAATCATAAAGACCTATTTCTGCTATTCAGTTTCTCAAACTGGAGCGCAATGGAAAAATAATGTATAATGTTACTTGTTTTATTATAGCAGTTATTCCTCATTAAAACAGTATTTAATGCAATTTCCAGTTATTTTCCTTTGGAGAATTTTGTTATTGCATTACCTTGAATGTTGGGAAGATGTGGTCTGTGTTGCTTGTTCATTACAAAAATAAGTAAGCACAATAAAGTGGATGCTAAACCATCAAACTCATAAATGTCCCTGCTGTGTCCCTGAATGTGTAATAAGCAAGTATACTAAATATTTTAATTATAGTTTTGTTATAACTTATGAGAAAAACATTTGATAGGAATAATAACTGTATATTGCTAATTTTTAACTGTCCCAACTGGCAAACCTTATGATTCATAGACTCCTCATATACAGTATTCAGTGCACAGAAATCCTGTAATTGGTTCAAGTGTACAGTAAGTGGTTTCCAAATAAAACTGTCGTGTTGAGTCAATATTTCTAGTTCTTCTTTTGGCTATATGTTCTTAGTATCAGGGCTTCTTGTGCCCTTCATTCATCTTTGGGATTTGAGAGCACTGTATTTGGGAGAAAGTGAAGAAATTTATTAGGAGAGAATGAAAAAGTTCAAAGTTTTACTTTCAGAGATGTTGTAGGTGCTAATATTGGATTTAATCTTTCATATTTAATTTCCTTTATGAGTCTGTTAGTTATTAAATAAATCCCATAGGTCTATGTAAAATTTTAATTGTATAAAACGCCTTTGTTACTTTATAGCCTATAATAGTGTGTCTGTCTGCCCTTTAAACCCATTGCAATAACTTTGCTGAAATACTAACACATTAGTAAAATTTTTCTTAAACAAATTGTCTCTGTGTCATACTTGGTGGTATTTGGTAATGTGGTAAATTATATGAAATTAACCTTGGCAGATAGACAATATTAGAATCACAGTTACAGTATAGCCCAGTATTTTTAAACATCTTACATACATAGTTTGTCATACTTTTCAGGTTTTTTACATACTTTGTCTCATAAGAGCAAATATGTGAGCTACGTAGGTGAAAACCAAGAAAATAGTCCCTATAATCAAAAATGTATTCAGTTAAAGAAATAAGAGAATGTTCCATTAGTGAAAAAGGTATTATTGTTACTATCTTGGGTTAGCTAATGACTTCATTTTCCTTTTTAATGAAATACATTTGTAGGAAGTAACTGCTTATAAAAGTCTATAGTCAATGTTTTGTGAGTTGATTTTCTTGATAAGATTTTCAGCTTCTCTTTCTTGCCCAGTTAAAATAGTAGTAAATAATACTCATGTGTAGCCAATAATCAAAAAAGTTCTAAGGCCCAAAATTATTATTCCACTTGACCTTGGCTCCTAGCATAAGCTAATGTCAGTTTCTCGAGGGTGACATGCTTTGTCTTTTGTTTTATTTCCATATAAAGGATGTCAGTGTAAGTGATGTACTTTATTTATACACTTATATCCTCTTCCCCTTATCATGCTGCTCTCCTTCCTACCCCAGCTCTCACCTCAACAAAGAGAATTGTTTCCAATGCTGTTTACATCTGTCCTTAACCCCAAGCATCATCACACATGGTGCTGCATATACTTAACACATATTTGTAAAGTGAAGGAATGAGGTATAAGTTGACAGGTCAGTATAGGTACTTTACTACAACTTGATATAACTGGAAAATATTTTAAAGTTAATATTACTCCTTAATTCTTTTAACTGTAATCTTTTGATAAAAGTTGACTTTTAGAAAGGACCTAGTATCACCAAAGACTACAATGATACTAAAAGTACTAACTGAAATAGGCCAAAGTGTTCCCACTATTTGTGCCTGGTTGGAGCATAAGTATCAATAAATAGAACCATTAACCAGTGACCAACTTTAATTTGTAAATGTGTGAGGTGATAAGGATTGTATTCTAAAAAGTTGGAGTAAACAGTTTTATGCAGTACTCAAACTTGGAAACACGTAGAGGAGAGCCAACATCTGGTTAATGTCCTACTTGCCATGATTGTTGTGAGTGCCAAGATGCAGGTTCTGGACCTCCTAAGTTCTGGAATAGTTTAGGAATACAGCAGTCCATGTATTTTGCTCCAAAATGAGTAAACACAATTATATAACCAATAAAGGTTATGACTCTTCCTGTGTTGTATCCTAAGTTTTTCCCCGGTGCCTTAAATGGTGCAGATGTGAATTTCTGTAAAATTCTGCCTAAAACCAGAAAGCCCTATAGAAACAATGCTTACTTAAAAATTCTTAAGCATCCACTTTGAAAGAAGTAATTTTAGGAAATAGGCACAACCAAAGATTTTTGGTTAATGTCACTGTCAAGTTAAAGTATATGCTAGCAGAATTTTAAAAAAAATTTTTAAATAGCTGAGCAGTATCAGTATTGATGTTAGTTAAAAGAATTTAATTAAATTTGTGTTGTTGCTTTTTACCTTGCACATAAAATCTTTATCCTCTAGATTAATATATCATTTTATTTTGAAGACTTTCATTTCGAAGGAGCTTTTTTTAAAAGTGCAAGGGAAGGGGACCTAAAAATGGTCCATTGGCTGCCAAGTCTGTTGTTCGTGATCTTAATGTTTCCGTCCACATATATATTCTCTTACTTCATAGTCTCACCAGTTTGTTGCTAGGAACTGCACATAATTGTTGTAATCAAAATGCTTCAGCAATTACTCTTCTGTAAACAACCAAATGCTAACAACTAGAAGCTCAGATTCTGTGATATACTCAGAAACAGTAGATGTAATATGACCTTTTCTTAACAATTAGAGTTGTGCTCAACTTTTGCACAACTTTTTACAACTTCATAATGTACAAACATTTCATTTAGTCTAGCTCCTTATTTCTGGGGAATTTAAAGGATGATATACTTGAAAAAGCCACATTATTGTAAATGTTACTGTCTAATTTCACAATAGGGAGTGTTTCAGTTAAACAACTGGAAAAGGAAAGGCCTAACAGCATGATGGGGGCATTTTTAATATTGTACAAAAAGATATTCACTTAATATCTAAGGACATGGAAGGACAATTTCAGCATGGAAAAAATTCATCTCTTAACCAGAATTCCCAACAGTGGCCACATTTAACAATAGAAACTTTACAATGCCTGCCAGCAAGAGATAAAAGTTAAAAATAATCAGATCCCTGATTAAGATTCTATGAGGAAAAAACAAACTTGCTTGTGTACATTGTTTTCTAGTCCCAAGCATTATGCTGATTTTAAAGTGAGCACAATTTTTCTATTTATCCAGGAAATGTGTGGTGTCGAAGTAATGTGCAGCTGCATGTTAATTATATGCAAGTTAAAGGCAGAAAATCCTGCCACTGAGACTGAAGGAAGCATGTAGGGTCATAGGATAAAATTTAGTCTAATCATTTCATTTATCAGACAAGCATATTAGAAACTTAAAAACTCACATGCCTAACAAAACCCCAGCAAGGAATTTTATGGAACTTGAGATAATGATTCTCACAAGACTTACTAATAAATTCAGTATTGCTATATATGCCACTGGTGCAAGGATAGACTGACGGAACAACGGAACAGAAGAGAGAACAAATGGCAGACTCAAGAAGTACAGGGGGCTGATAGTCTCCTTTTGCCTCTCCCAATACTTTCTCAGTGTGTGCTCCTTTACTGGAAAATGGATGTCTACAGATTGCATCTACCTGGCTCCTTGTCATGAGGCTTCCAGTGAGGTTTGGCCAAAGGGAGGAATAAACAAGAGAATTGAGTTCAGTAGTGCACTGATCCATGGGAGCAGCTAAATGCTTGGTCAGCTTCTTAGGGATCTGCAAAGCCAAAGCTAAAATGCTAATGAGGAATAGAGAAACACTATGTACAGGGATCTTAAGGAATGGGCTCGGAGTGTGAAGAAACTCATGCCGTGTAAATGCTCACCAGATAACATTTACTGCAAAGAGGTTCTCACTAAGGAAGTAGAAAGTTCTGTGGGTGTCAGGAAGCCTCTTTCCGACCTCCTCAGTGCTTGCTCAGTGGGATCATGCAAATGGTCATGGCAGCAAGGATGGAGGCTACACGTGACTCAACAACATGAATCTCCTCTCATATGGCAAGTCTGGCTACTGCCACTGCTGAGTGCCCAACAGGCCAGCAGAGGCCAAGCTAATCCCTAGTCTGATGCCATTCTCCAGAGGGATTCTGATGATGACAAAACTAGACATCTTATTTATTTCTGTTTCCCCACCACTACCCCTGTGTCCCCTTGTCCTTTTCCTTCCCTTGCCCTCTTAACCTCAGAGTTCTCAAGATGTTTATTGATGTCCACAAGTTTTTGAAAGAATTTAAGTTGTTGAATCGCCTGCTATATGCATGTCCAATATTTGTTTATATCATTTTAACTTACTTTACTGTACTTCTTTCAAATTCCCTCCATTTTTTTGAAAACAACTACATTGAAATTGAACATTTTAGGGTCTTCCTCGTGGCTCAAGAGTTAAGACATAGCACTATGAAGCAGTCCGCAACTACTGCAGCACAAGTTTGATCCCCAGACAGGGAGGTGACCCACTTAGCATGGCAGACCCCTCCTGATTCACCTGCTGCTCCACTCAGCATAGTATTTCAGTACATCTGCCTCTTCTGCTCCCCACTCTGTCTCTGGTGAATCCTCTCACCTACCCCTCCCCCCGCACTTCTGACCTACACCCCAGCTCTTGTATACATAAATAAATAAACAAATCTTTAAAAAAAAAACTGGACATTTTAATTACAGAGTTGGGACTCTGTTTTGTGACTTAAAGAGACTATGGGACTTTTTTTAAACCAAAGAGTGACGAGAGTAATCACAGACCTTCCTCAGTTTTCATCCAGGCACAGAGAAAAAGCTATATCCGACAAGTAAATGTAAAGAGCTATATCTAAAATAAAACTGGAGACAAAAATAAAGTTGCTTTGTGATTACATCCCATGTGTTGACCTAATTATAATTTATATACATGCATATACACTCAGCTCATGTATTATCACCATATTATTATTTTTGGATACATATGTGTATGATAAAATACATAAATATACCTGAAACAATAAACAGCAAGTGAGGATAGTGGTGACCTCTAGAGAAGGAGAAGGAGGACTGTGTCAGAAAGAAGAGCATGGGGCTTAGATTGAATTTGTAATATTAAATGGTCTGGTATTTCCATACCAAAAAAAATTATAGTAGCAACAACATGCACTTTTCAATATAAATTACCATATTCTAAATATATGTATACCAAGTAGCAAGATAAATTGGACACAATATCCACCAGGCCTGCCCTTAAATTTCGTTGGGGCTTTCAGTTTCATTGTCTTGTAAGCCTTTGACCTATTGATTCATTTGAAACCAGGTTTCACTGATTGTCAAGAGGCACTAACTCTCAGTTTTACTAGATCTAATTAGATCTAAAAAAGTGAAAAATATAGACTTGGTTTTTTCATGCTTACTGGGTTTGTGAACAGACCTTTAAAATAAATGAATTAAGCTTCCTAGAAGCAACATATCACCAAAGGTGAAGTTCAGGGTCAAGTGGCAATCCTCACTTAAAATAGACACATCTAAGATGAGGCAAGGAGAGGCTGACTGGGAATATTATGATCTCACTTTCCCACAAACAGGGACAAGTTCAAAGTAATTTCAGCCTTCCAGAGTTGCATGGGTTATAGCCAACCCTATTGAATCTAAATAACTGATAAATCATAGAATGAATGACGGTATCACAGCAATTTTAGATATATGATAGAGCAAATGATCTAAGGCTTCTGGCTCTTGTTTCCAAAAATATCAATAATTCAATACAATTAATGACCATATTTCAGTATTGTCAGCTGAAACTGTTTTCAAAACTGAACTGAACATAACAAGCCAAAAAATTAATAGTTCTTATCACTTTGGGATACTCTAAAAGTGGAAATATTACATTATCTCTTTTAGCTAATTTAATAGCGAAACACCCAGATAATGTTATGTGACATGGGATATAATTAATCATCCCATTCTCTAACCTTCTGATAAAAAGGGTAAATGCTGAACTCAATTAAGATGCTTATTTTCACCAGTGAAAAACCTGTAGCAATGCAAAATGAAGAAACTTAGACATAATGCAAAAGTTTCCAAGATGTCACTAATTTTTAGACTTCATATTTTTATATTAACCCAAGCCTCTTAGCCCTTGTTATTTCAACTACTGATGGCTCAAGAACTATATAATTTATAGGTACCCCATGTGGAAATGAAGATAAAATGGAAACAATTACAATACAATTCTAACTCCATAACTAAACAAAAAGTTTAGGACAGAATTACTCTTTTATCATTTATAATTTCAACACCTATTACATTTCTTTGCATGAAATGTTAATCAAAGTGCTTCAAAATGTTAACAATTTTCTTTGAAAGAATGTTCAAAAGGTTTATAAATGTTGCAATCATCACACAAAGAGTGATTCTAAAAGAAAAATTAAAACAATAATGTATATATTTTGCCAAAAAAAAGAAAATCTTAAATCTAACTGGTTGTCAGTTCAGGGAAACCATTACCCACATACACATAAATCATAATTGTATTCTTTTTTTTTTGTTTTGTTTTTTTTAATAGAGGCATGCTTTTTATTTATTTATTTATTTGTTTTGTTTTGTTTATACATGCACTGGGTACAGTCAGAAGCACGAGAGGGTGGGAGAATTCACCAGAGCCAGAGCGGGGAGCAGAGCAGGCAGAAGGACTGAAGTACACTGCTGGGGGGAGCAGCGGGCGGCAGGAGAGGTCTGCGCGCCATGTGGGACCCTCCTCCGGTGGCCGGGGAGCAGCCGGGGATCGAACCGGCGCTGCAGAGGCCGCGGGCAGCTTCGCAACCCAGCGCTCAACCGCTGCGCCACCTGGGAGGCCCATAATTGTATTCTAAGAATTGTTCCTACACAGAACAGTTTTCAATAACTTTTAGTACAAAGTGGAATGACCCATTTCGTTAGTTATGCAAAGTTCTCAAAATGTTGCCATGTCTATGATCCATTAACACAAAGAAAGATAGGGCACTAAAATAAAATAATTGTGGAATTTTGATATAGAGTCCATTCTTCAGCAAAGCTACCCTTTAACCTTTTCTTCTGAAGATAATCAAACCTTTTTCCTATGGTTATATATTTTAAAACAAAAGAGCATTGCCCTAAGTTGTAAGCACTTAGAAATTCTGTGTTTGGGGCCTCCCTGGTGGCGCAAGAGGTTGAGTGCCGCACTGTGGGGCAGTCCGTGGCCTCTGCAGCATGGGTTCAATCCCTGGCTGGCCAGGGAGAAACCCACATGGTGGGGTGGACCTCTCCTGTTTCAACAGCTGCTCCCCTCAGCAGTGCGTTTCAGTCGGTCTGCTTGTTCTGCTCCCCACTCTCTCTGGTGAATCCTCTCACCCCCCCCCCCAATCTCTGGCATAAATAAATAAATAAATCTTGTGTTTGACCTGTTTTTCATTTAGACCTAAAGACAATCCCCTAGAATAAATTACATAGATCCTAATAAACATAAAACCTGCCCAGCCCTTAGACATGTGAGCTTTTCAACAGATGCACATGGCATAATTGCACAGGAAATGTCATGTTTTGTTTTGTTTTGTTTTGTTTTGTTTTTTTGCTTGAACTTATTCCAGCAAATCATTAGGAAAGAATAATTCTACTCAACTCACTAAATGCTATATTGGCTGCAGTTCAGAAGATAAATTTAATTTTATTAAGGAGGAAAATTCATGATCATCCTATATCTATAATGAGCAAATATGACAATACAGCATTTGTATCTGCTCACAGTGTTTCACATGCAACTCTCTTGGAACTTATTCATACTTCTTTTTTTTTTTAAGATTTATTTATTTATTTATACAAGCACTGGGTACAGTCAGAAGTGCCAGAGGATGAGAGAATTCACCAGAGCCAGAGGGGAGAGCAGAGCAGGCAAACTGACGAAGTACACTGCTGAGGGGAGCAGAGGGCAGCAGGAGAGGTCTTCGTGCCATGTGGGACCCTGGCCTGGCAGCCGGGGGTCGAGCCAGCGCTGCAGAGGCTGCGGGCAGCTTCGCAGCCCAACGCTCAACCGCTGCGCCACCAGGGAGGCCCTATTCATACTTCTGGCAAACTATACTCACATGTCATCTCAGAGAGGAGATTATAGGCTCAATGTGTCCTCTCCCCAACCCCTCCACAAATAATTGTTATTCATTGATTACCACTCTCCCATCACAAGATCTATACTTCCTAGTCACTGCTTTATCTTCAGCACCTACACAAGGCCTGGCAGGAGATACTCAAATATCACTAGATACCCAAGATGTATTTGTTGAACAAAGAAATTAATGTATGAATGGATGATGCGCACTGTACTAGATGTGAGGAGTACCATCAGGGAATCCACAATCTAATAAGAGAAAGGGATGTTAAAACTGCAATATAGCATGATAAATGTTATATCACAATAATATCAGGTATATCAGTGGCCTAAAAAATGTGGCTACACTAGGGATGGTTTCACAGAAGAAGAGTTACAATACTTTGAGTTTTGAAAGCTAAATAGGAGCTCATATGATGATTAAATGAAAAGAATAGAAGCCTAAAAAGAAGGAACAGTATGTGCAAAGAAAGGAAATAAAATCCTCATGTGCTTAACTAGTTTGACACAAATGGAGCACAAGGGTGTAAAGGAGGTAGCCCAAAATATAAGAAAATAGGCAGCACTGTTTTCAGAAGGAGTGACTAAATCACAGCAGTGTGATCTCCATTTTTCTCTCCAGGGACTTTATTCCATCTTCCAACATGATGCCTCAGTGCAGCTGTCTAGGAGCAATAAGGCACTAGCCTAGGAGTGTTCTGCTCACTGTCCTTCCAGGAAAGCATGGCAGCTGCAAAATAGACACACTCCTACATGGCAGCTCATGGGTCCCAAGAGACATGGCTTAAGAAAGATCCTGGTGGAAGCTGCTCCGCCCTATGAGTTAGCTCTGGAGTCATGTAGCATCACTTCTGCCACATCCTCTTGGTCCAGAGGCAAAAGACTTACAGAGAAGAGAACACAGATCCCCTCCCTGGAAAGAGTAGTGTCAACATGTCTTCTCAGTAGAATTCATGGAAAACACAATCTGTCACAACTAAAAACTGCTGGATTAAAAAGGCATTAAAACACAGTTGAAATGAACCTGGAAAAGTCATCTATTTGTCATCAACAAAATTCATTCTGCAAGACACAGTTCAAATGCTCCCTTCCTTAGGACTCCCTCTTTGCTGTACCCCCACCCTCAACTTTCATCACCATTTGAAATTATGTCCACTCTCTCACTTAGTACATTCTATTGTAATTAGTTTAAAAATATGGATTATGTGTCAATTAACCACACTTCCTCTCCCCCTTCAATGCATATGGCACAGAACTACATCACGGTCTTCAGCTTGAAGAAGGTAAAATTACTTCTAAGAAAGTGAGAAGTGACACAAAGCACAGAAAACAAAGGGGTGCAGTGAGAAAAGCATCAACAATTTAGAGAAGAAAAACTAACAACACACAAAGAAAATAAAAGGTATCAAGCTAAGCTTTCTTCCTACACAAAAGGTGGAGGGCATAAGCTTCAGATGTCAAATAACCTAGAGCGCAAACAGCTTAGGGGAAACATTGTCTAAAGCAATGGTTCTTCCCAGCTCACCTGCATCAGGGCCACCTGGAGGGACTCTAGACCCACTCCCAGGTTTCCTTTCTCAGCAGGTCTGGGTGGGGCCCAGAACCTATAACAGCTGTAGTTTTTTCATGATCTGCTACCATATTCCTCACACATACCTAAAGATTTTTTTTTTTTTGAGATTTATTTATGCACACAAGAGTTAGGGTACAGGCCTGCAATGCTGGGGTGAGGGGATTCACCAGAGACAGAGCAGGGAACAGAACAGGCAGACTGACGAAATACACTGCTGAGGGGAGCAGTGGACGAGACAGGAGAGGTCTGCCGGACCATGTGGGTAGCTCCCTGGCCAGCCGGGAATCGCACTTGTACTGCAGAGGCTGCGGACTGCTTCATAGTGCGGTGCTTAACCCCTTGCGCCTCCAGGGAGGCCCCATACCTAAAGATTTTTTAGAACTGGAAGCAACAGCCACAACTGAAGCCCTAGTAACGATGAAGACCCAGAAAGGGCGTGCAGAAGTGGGTACAGAGATGGCCCAAGACACCAAAGAGGCCTGATTTTAGACAGAGCCCATTTCTGTGAGGGCCTCACTACAGGCCGGGGTCCGAGCGACTGCACCCCGGTGGCCTCAGCCACGGTAGCGAGGCGCCCCCTCCCGTCCCTACCGAGTGGAGTCAGCCGGGGCCGCAAACCCAGCAGCCGACCGGGTGGGCGAGGCCAATCCGTCAGCTCCCGCGGCCCCCATCAGGCGGTTGCTGGGAGAGCAGTCCCGAGACGCAGTCCCCGCCCATTGGCGTAGGCGGGGCCGCCGGACTGTGATTGGCTAGCGCCGCCCGTGCGCGGTGACGTCATACCAGGGCTGACAATTTCTGAGCGCAGCGCGGGAGCTGGGAAGTGGCGGGTCGGGTGCGTCCCGGAAAGACTTGGTACCTGTCATTTCTCCGCCCGGTGCCCTTTGGGGGAGCCGGAGCCTGATCCCGCGAGCGTCCTGTCCCAGCCGCCGGCTCCCGACAGTGCTGCTGCCTCCCGCTGCTCGGGTGAGCGTCCGACGGGGCTGTGCGTGCGCGCGCGCTGGGGGGAGGGCTTTGTGGACTCTGGGCCCAGGACAGGAGCCGAGCGAGGATGGGCTCGCGGTTTCCTAGACTTCGAGCACTTCTCCCTCGTTCCCGCCATCTTCCTTCCAAAGCCATTGGGGTCACTGATGGCGTAGCATTATGGTTGTAGAAATGAATTCTAGCCTTTGACCCAGGCAGAGGAAGAACAAGCGGTGCTCCAGGAATGGTGAGATCAGGAGAAGCTTTATTACTACTCCTGCATGAGGTCCCAGACCTGGGTAGCCCCTTAAGGTCTGAGCATCCGTTTGAAGACCAAGGGTTCCTTTTATACACTACTGTGTCCATATCTGTTACATTGATAACATTGTTTTTCAGCAGGCAAAGTCCCCAGACAAGAGGGGGCAAGGTAAGGGGGAAAGATGCAGGCATTCAGGGATGGCCTTGGAGAGAGAGACAAGCTGGTTGGCTGTCCGACCTTGTAGATAAGAGTGCTGAGGCCCTGACCATGAATCTTAAAAGGGAAGGAGCTGTACGTAAGCAAACGTGTTAATTATGCCTGCTTTGGAATGTTCATTGCACCTGGGCTGGAGGTTCTGCTGGAATCTTTATTATATTCATTTGCTCAATAATATATTTTCTCATCAGTACCCTGGTCTGATGGGTCTTGTGGTTGTAGGAGATTCGACATTGATTAGTTTTCCCAACAGTTTTCAGGGCCTGCTATGAGTTAGGCACTGTGTAAGTGCAGGGACTATAGAGGTAATTATGATCCCAGTAATTAGATACCAGGCACTGAGCAGAACTGCACTTCTGTTTGAACAGAGGTGAATACAGACCATGAGGAAAAGGACCTCTATTGGAAGACAATTATGCTGTGGTGTGGTAGATGCTCAATTTGAGGTATAGGTGGAAATACTTGTAAGGGGTGACCTCTTTGAGAAACTGATTAATAGTTTGAAAGGAGAGACGGAGAATTGAAAAACTGAAGTCTGTGAATTCTCTAGCCACTCCCAACAAGCCTCTACAGCCCAGAAAACCTTACCCTTTTCCAGATAAGTAATTGCCTATTCTCGCAACTAAGTGAAAAACACATTGCTGGTTATTGGTTATTTTATTCTCACTTGGCTCTCAGTTTCAGAGAAGATGACAGAAGAACTGGATCTCATAGAACAGGACTCTGATGGGGATAGTGAGGAGGTGGTCCTCACACCTGCAGAGCTCATTGAAAAGCTGGAGCAGGTAAGCTTCCCAAATAGAATTCCCTTGCTCCAAACTTAACCTTTTATTTAGTCCAACTGTACAAGTGTCAGGAATGAGAAAAGGAGGAAATGGAATTCAAAGCTTATTTCGAGAGAAGAGGGAATGAACCTTCCCATCTACACAGAAATACAAAATAGTGGGAACAACCTCTTAGAAACCTCATAATGCCAAACACAAAATACTTAGGGAGCCAGTAAATGACAGCTTTGAGCACATTTAATAGAACAGTTCACAGAGCAAGAATCTATTTATCTTTGCAGACAGTGCAGAGATGTTATGTTGGAAACTAGTAAGTGCTATATCTTTGTCCCTTACTTTATACATCTGTGTTTCCCTATAGAATGTGTGGGTTAACAAGAAGTTGTTATATACTTTTCTAAGGGAAAGCTAGTCTTATTCTTCTTTTTCTTCCCTTTTGCATTCTTGTACCAACTGTTGTTTACATTTCCATTGCTTATCTAAAGATCATTTCTGGATAGTTCTTCTTTGAGTTATAGCTATGACTCCTTGAGTAGTTTGTGCTACTAATTGTGTGAAGCTCTTTACTATTACTGTTTTATGAAGGTCTGGTGGTTAGGAGTTCAGACTATCTAGATTTAAATTCCTCCATGCTATTAGTCTATTGTGTGACCTTAGGCAAGTAATATAATTTGCCTCAAGCCCTTCTTTGACTGTAAAGATAGATGTAATAACAGTGGCTGCCTCACATGGCTGTGAGTATTAAATAGGATCTTATAGGTAAAGTGCTTAGCTTGTTGTGTGGCACATGGTAAGCACTCACTGTGCTAATAATAGCTACAATAACCCAATGAGGAAAGTATTTTTGTTAATCTCCATTTTGTGGGTGAGGAAACTGAAGCTTAGTGATATAAAGGAATTTCCCTAAGGTCACACAGTGACTTCAGAGATGGGATATGAACCATATCTCTAACTCCAAAACATGTGCTCTTTTTCTACTATAAATGCTGCCTTATTCCTGTGTCCTCCCTTAAACTGCCCCTTTCCAGAACTTTTGTTTTTACTTTGCATTCTTCCTTCTTTCCTATCATGCATGCCACCATGAGTGACAACTGAAGGAAGATAATTTTTATAATTTTTAAATTATATCTTACAATCTTTATGAGACTAATGATTCTTAGTCTGTTTTTATATCACATGGCTTTGTGAAAACTCTGACCTTCCCAGAATACTACATATTGACTAATGCAGAATTTTCCATATAACCCTACGAGGGTCATTGACACCCTGAAATCTGTCCACTGATCTTGTCTGTGGACTCCAGTTTAAGAGAGCCTGTTTTTTTTTTTTAGGAAATGATTCATTAAACAAAAATCAAAAAGCACAGAGCATTAAAATAAAGTGCATTCAACTATATTAAATTAAGTTCTTCTGTTTCTATACTTTGATGAGTAAAAAGACAAGCTGTAAAACTGGGAAAAAATTTGCAAAATATATAATTGACAAACTGTTAAAAATATCTGCAGTGCATAAATAAACCTTACAGATTGCCCATCAGTAAAATGAAGTCTTAACAGGCATTTCCCAGAAGTGGAAACCAGGATGGCCAATATAATGAAAAAGATGTTTAACCTTCTTTGTAACAGGAAAATGAAAACTTAAATCACAACAAGAAATCACTTTATGCCTATCAGATTGGCAGAAATGTAAAAGGTAAACCATATAAAGAATTGGCAAGGATATACAGAAATGTGCACATTTGTATACACAGTGTGCATATAAATTGGTTCAATCACTTTGAAAAATAATTTACTATTGCCTAGGAAAGTTGAAGGTACCTACTGAAGGAATTAGTGTGGCCCAATAATTCTACTCTTATTTGCCACTCTGTTCTCTCTATTTTAATGAAAATTTCTGTGTGTAATCCAGTAGACATGCACAAAGTGTTTTGTGTCTTGCATTAGTTAAAAACTGAAAATAAGCCAGATATCCATCAACAGTGGAATGGATTAAAAAGTATGGTATAAACACAGAATGGGGTTGGGGGAGAACAGCAATGAAAAAAATAAAAGATAGTTCCTGCATGGATAACTAACTCTAAGGAACATCAAAAAGTAAGCTCCCTAAGAAACCATATATGTACATTTCAAACGCTTGCCAAGCTGTTGTTCAAGGCAGAGCTTGCCAGCGTGGGTGAGTGGTACCCTGGTTTGCTATAAATGTGGAATAGCCAGAGCCTCCAGGAATAGCCAGAGCCTCCAGGCTGATTACCACTTCTGGGTGTCACCAAAGGCTCCATAGAAGACTACCTAAGGGTTGTAGGCTCTAACAACACAGCCTCATCGTGGCATGGGTAAGCCTGCCTTATATCTCCAGCCTGATGATCTTGCCTAAGGTCAGCCAAGGAGGTGGACTATCCACTAGATAGCTGTTGCTACCGTAGACTCAGACTACCTGGCGTGGCCTCAGGCAGCCTGAGGGGGTCACTGACTAACACATCACCAGGAACATAATGAGGATGCTATTAAATGTCTATAAAATTAATTTAAAAGTTATCTACAGTGCAGAGTTTGTCATTTTTTAATGATTGTATTAGTTTGCTAAGGCTACATACCAAAGTACTGCACAATGGGTGGCTTAAACAACAGAAATTCATTTTCTGAATTCTGGTGGCTAAACATCCTAAGATCAGGTGCCAGCCTGGTTGTTTTCTTTTGACCTATCTTGTGATCTTGTAGATGGACATCTCCCTGTGTCTCCACATGATCTTCCTTCTATGTGTCTGTGTTCAAATTTCCTCCTCTTTAAAGGGTACCAGTCATTTTGGATTATGTCCCATCTCAGTCACTTCATTTTAACTTTATTACCTCTTTAAAGACCTATCTCCAAATACGTTCACATTTTTAGGTACTAGTCGTTAGAATTTCCACATATGTATTGGGAGGTGAAGGAAGACATAATTTAGCCCATAAAAATGAGGAGCAGATTGTCATTAAGAATTTTGATTAGGAGGCTTCCCCTGTGGCGCAGCGGTTGAGCGCTGGGTTGCAAAGCTGCCTGCAGCTTCTGCAGCACCAGTTCGATCGCTGGCTGATCCCCGGCTGCTCCCCGGCCACCAGAGGAGGGTCCCACATGGCGTGCAGACCTCTCCTGCCGCCCTCTGCTCCCCTCAGCAGTGTGCTTCGGTCCTACTGCCTACTCTGCTCCCCGCTCTGGCTCTGGTGAATTCTCTCACCCTCCTGCGCTTCTGACTGTACCCAGTGCTTGTATAAATAAAATAAATAAATAAATCTTTAAAAAAAAAAAAGAATTTTAATTAGGATTCAAATATAGCCTTTTAGACATAGAACCTGATTGTTCTAAAATGCCCTGGATTTAAACAAATTGCTCACTAAAATTTTTGAAAAGATTTTATTTGAAAGTTTAATATTTTATTATTGTATTTTCAAAATGTAAATGGGAAATCTTCCCATACCCACAGTGTATTCCAATTTACCTCAGTTTCATCCAGTGCTATCATTTTTTTTAATTCTATCTCGTGAAAAAACTGGGAAACATTATGTAGAGATACAAGCAAATGTGGTGAAACTACAGAAAACTATACACTAAAGTCAGGTTTATGGTTATCACTAAGGAAGGAGGAACACAGATTTTTTTTAAATAATGGTAATATCCTTTAATGAAGTTATGTGCACACAGGTAGTTATGTCACTCCTCTTTATGCTAATATGTGTTTCATGAACATTTTTGTACCTATTTAATATTTAATTTAATTAGCTAAAAAGAAAAACTGCTTTATAAGTGCTCTGTGAAAATTTTATCTTTTCTCATTTACTATGCTACTTGAAAATACAGGTTCTCTTTCTGGCTAATTTTATATACCTATAATACTATTACAGAAGCTTGAGCACTTGAAAAAAAATTTATGATAGTAGCAATACCCAGTATTTAATAATGGGTCTTAACAGTGATAACGGGAGAAGTGGAGGCTCAAGGATGTCAAAAGTAAATTGGGAGAAATAAATTTTGAGCTATGCTAAAAGTAAGTTTCCTGTAATTGAAAGATAAGTATAGTCTTTTCTCAGTACTTATAGATATTTCAGTTCTCAAAGCCTTGGTAATTTCTGAAATGTACCAAACATCTGGGCCTGAGTTAACCTCTTGTTCCAAAACTGTGTAATAGATGAATATCCATTTCGAATATGATCCTTTATTCTCTGGACGGTTAGTAAATGACATAATCTGTGTTTTTTCATCAGTAAATAAAGAAAACCATATGCATTTCCTCTCAGGTATAATGCTGATTGAAAAAGTATTTATAATGTGCTCTGAAATTCAGGAATGAGAAGATGTATTGATTCATAAAAAGTGTTTCTTCATTTCTCTAATAGAAATGCTGCTGGTGCCTCCTGGTGGCATATAACTGGTAAAGAAGTAGAAATGTGTAGATGTGACTTGGTAAAGGGACTGTTTGAACACCAGATGGTGTTACTGGCTATTCCTGGAGGTTAAATATATTTGTGAACACAGTCTTCCCACTAAAAGAAACATAAAAACCAGCATTAATTATAGTTTGTCTTCAAAGTATTTCTAATACTTCCAACTAATAAGCAAACAGTTCCTTTGCCTAAGGTAGCTGTGATTTTTTTGGCATAATATGTACTGACTCACAGGGTTATTTCTCTTCATTATGAGTGAGGCTCACATGTTTTAATTTACATTGTTTTTTAGGCCTGGCTGAATGAAAAATTTGCCCCTGAGCTGCTGGAAAGCAAGTCTGAAATTGTAGAATGTGTCATGGAACAACTAGATCACATGGTAAGAGTTGCTTGTCTCAAAGTTGCAAAGGAAGAGAGCATTAAAAGGATTTGTCATCTTAATTAATTAGAGGTTTGAGAGGTTATGATCTGAAAGCAAATCTGTTTTGTTTAGCCCAGCCTAGTTTATTATTATTTTTTTAATTTTATACATTTTTTACATCATTTTTCATTTTTGCATAATGTATGCATTTTCATCTTGGTTATAGTACCCACACAATTCCCACCCCCCTTGTTTTGATCCTACTCCCTCCTCTCCCCACTGTAGTGGGTCTCTGGTTTATAGTTTCTTGTTGATTTTGATTTTTACTTTATAATAATTAGGTTTTTTCCTGGTCCCTTACTTAGGTTTTCTAAATTCCTGCTATGAGTGAGACTATCCAGTATTTTTCTTTTTCTTTCTGGCTTATTTCGCTGAGCATGATCCCTTCCAGTTCCATCCATGTTGCTGCAAACTAACAACGACAAATGTTGGTGAGGATGTGGAGAAAAAGGAACTCTCCTACACTGCTGGTGGGAGTACAAACTGGTCCAACCACTATTGAAAGCTGTGTGGAGATTCCTCAATCTGCTAAAGATGGAGCTTCCATATGATCCAGCAATTCCACTCCTAGGTATTTACCTAAAGGACACAGAAACATTAATTCAAAAGGGCACCTGCACTCCTGCGTTTGTAGCAGCACTATTTACAATAGCTAAACAACCCAAATGCCCAAAAATAGATGACTGGCTCAAGAAGATATGGTACATATACACAATGGAATATTACTCAGCAATCAAAAAAAGATAAACTCTTGCAATTTGCCTAGTTTATTATTTTTAAATACTGTATTAGTTATCTACATTTACAACGCTTGAGAGTTATCTACATTTACACAACTGTGGATATCAGCTTCCTATGGAAAGTCTAAAATCCCCCACCACCAGCTCCACATGTTGACATGAGAATGGCTGACCAGGACGGTAAAGGACAGGTAAAGGTTGGTGTGCTCTCCAGTTCCCACAGTCCTAACTGCCCACCTCTCCTGGACCTTACTTCCCTGCCCCCTTGCGGACATTTGAGTCTGTGACTCTTGGCTTAGAAAAGCACCGCTTCCGAGCAGCTTTAAAACATTGGTATTTTACAGTTTCTCAACTTGAATTTAAGACTCTTTAGACACTTCTTCTGTCTGCTTTCTTATCTCCTTTACAACTGGCTTAGACTTCTCTGGACACTTCTAACTGACCATAGTCAGATTCTATTCAAATGGTCATTTTCTAAAATGACTGTTTTATTTCTCATTCTAAAATGAGACTGTTTTATTTGTGCAGTTAAGAAATTCAAATAAAATGAGAATTCTTTTTTTATATAAAAATATTTTATTTCTTTATATCCTTATTCTATAAGCTTTTCCAAAATGAGAGTTCTTATGTGATGAGTTTCTGTTCTTCTTTCACTTAAATTTAATTTGTGGGTCTTCAGCAGTGCCAGCGACAATGATCATTATCATCTAGGTGCAGATTAAACAAAAAAGTTTCTTAGTCTTGGAGCATTATATTTTATAGAAACTCGATTTTCTCTTTTTAATAGGAAGAAAATCTCAGGAGAGCCAAGAAGGGGGATCTGAAAGTCAGTATCCATCAAATGGAGATGGAGAGGATTCGCTATGTCCTTAGCAGCTACTTGCGGTGTCGTCTTATGAAGGTTTGACATGGATATATTTATAGAATAAAATAATTCAGTCTGAAATATAGATAGAGCATAGTGAGGAGAAGCTGTGCTTGGGCCTGGGAGGCTCCAGGCCATGAAAATGCTGCTGAAGCTCAAAAGCAGAGTAGCTAAAGCGTTAAGGAGGGCCAGAGATTATTCTGGAGAAGCACAGAGAGAATGTGTATCATGCACCTCCAGGGACATAGCCCACATTTTTTGTCTACTTATCTGCTATGTGAATGGTGCCCCCTGGAATTATAGTGTGGCAGTGCTGAGGGTAGAGCTTGTATTGATTGAATAGGGGATAACGAGTAGAAGAAAACTAGTCTTAAAAATTATTTTCATCTTTAATAGAGGCCATGTCAAATGGACCATGATAACTTGACATTCAGCAGTAGCATTGTGGCCATCCAACTTCTAACAATGAAATTGCTAAACATTATTTTGTATTATGTCTGTTTTAACCCCAGAAAGTTCTAACTTTCTTGAAGTTTTCTTCTTATTTGGTTCCACTTGTCCACTTTGTTATTACAACACAAATACTTTCTCTCTTCTATATGAGAGTGCTTCAGCTTGCAAATCTCATCTAAGTCCTTTCAGTTAAACATTTCATCCTAAATTCATTGACTCTCCTGGTATCTTCCTTCAAAAGGTTTCCGTTTATCAATATTCTTTTTAAATTGTACTACCTGCCACTGAATATAGTATTGCAGTTTAGCTTGCTCACTTTTGTGAAAAATAACATGATCGCTATGTATTAAACTGATAGTAATGCCACCCAGAATCTCATTAGCATATTGGTTCATGCTAACCTCCTTCTGTGCTCACCATTAACTCAAACTTCTTCAGTTTTTAAGTTATTATTACCCCATCCTGTCACCATCCTGAATTTGTGTAGTTTTGTTTTTGATCCCTAAATGTAGGACTTGCTATTCATTTCACTTGAACCTCAACATCTTATTAAATTGAGCCATTTCAATGGTTTCTAGATCTTGAGCTTGTCACCAAATATTATCAAAAGGTTTGATAAGTATGTCATCAAAGGTCTTACAGTTAATTGGCATGGGCCGCTGATATATTATTCCACCAGGGACTTCCCTACACATTGACATCTGTCCCTTGATTCACTGTTGTTGTTCAGTATTTAGGATTTTCCCTACGTGTACTGTCACCCAGGCCCAGATTTATAGTGTGTCCATAAGGGTGTCATTGAGACATTATGACATGTTCTGAAAACATTGAGACACATGGTATGTCTCTGGCCTCCACCTTCAACTACTGGACCACTATCTTTCATCTCTCTTGTAAATTCAGTAATTCTTCTGAGATTATGAAATTACATATATTTTTAGTGTACTGATATAGCAGCATTAGTAATTTACATATAACAGGAGAAAGTACTACACATACATACAAATGTATACTCCCCGCAAGTGTTAATTTATATGGAATATAATTGGTCCAAGCTCAAGAACTTACACTCATGTAAGTGGAGAAGTGCTCCTTTATTTTGGCCTTCAGAGTCCCCTTACTTTTGCCATTTCCCTACTTGCTGAAAGCATTAGATATAATCCTAGCAGCTTTGACTCCAAACAACAGACTAGTTTCCCTTCCCAAATTCTGACCACACACCATCTTTGTAACTTTTAGCTTTTTTTTTTCCTGGTAGTCCTAAGAACTTTTCCCAAGCTCCACCTTCTTCTGGACTTTATTCTTGCTGGTTATATTCATACAATAAAGTATCACAATTCTATCTGTGTATGCATTCTGTATGTGTCTTCCCAGCTTTTTTAGATTTCAAAGAATACCCTGTGCAATTACATAAAAATGTTAAATAATATCCACAGCTCTTCCTCTTGAATATCATTTATAATTATATGTTCAGATTTGTTTTTATGAAAGCCTCTTATCCTTTTAAAACTGCTCTTGTATGTATTACCTCTGAATTCTTTGAAACCTACTCTCTGCCAAAATTGAGGTCTTATTACTAGAAAGAATCTTGACCATGAAGACTTGCCATTTCTAAAGGCAATTTCTAGGTTAACCTCCAGCCATTTCAGAAAACTAGTGTGTTTGAGACGTGGATCTTGACAGATGTTTTTGTGACGATTTGTATTTATCCCCACAGATAGAGAAGTTTTTCCCTCATATCCTTGAAAAGGAGAAGACACGCCCCGAGGGAGAACCTGCTAGCCTTTCTCCAGAAGAGTTTGCCTTTGCCAAAGAGTGAGTAAGCAGTTAAGTGTGGGGCCAGACTTTCTTGCCTTGCCTTGTAAGCATGAGCTCTGGTGGTGGTATCCATGAAGCCTGTCTCAGAGTCACTGCTCACTGTCTGATAGCCCTGGTGGTTCCGACCAGTCATGTTGTTGCAGTAATTTGAATTTATGCATTTCAGGTACATGGCTAACACAGAGACCTATCTAAAGAATGTTGCCTTAAAGCACATGCCTCCTAACTTACAGAAAGTGGACCTCTTAAGGTCAGGTAAGTTCATTTTTTGGACATCCTGAGGGGCCATAGTTTATGTCCCAAGTATCTTCAGCTGCATTAGAATAGGAGCTTCACCTTCACTCTTTCCTCTCAAACATGGACAGATACATAGATAAGCAGAAAAGAGAAAGGGTTCTGGGTTAAAAATTAAAAATGTGCTAAAAGCAAGTGTAAGGGTCACCTTTTCAGCATAACTTGTATGGTTATGTTAGGTTAGGTTCAAATTAATTCTGGTAACTGCCTTTGTTAACGTAGACTCATTCATCTATCCAATCCTTTGTTCTTTCATCAATTATCTCCTGAGTATCCATGATGTTCTAGGCTCTTCTGAATGCTAAAAAACAAAGGTTACTTCAACCTGTCTCTGCTCTAAAGGGGCTATCTTTTCCTCAGATTCCAGGAAGTGTGGAGAATGTCTAGCTACTAAAAAGCATTTAACTAGGAGGCTAGGAAACCTGTCCAGGATTCCTTGTTACCTCTAGAAAAGGCTCCTCTTTTTGTTGGGAGGAATTCCTCTTGGAGAAAGGGGGAGCAGATCTAAATGTAGGAGAAGAAAAGGAAGACCTAAGGCCTCCAGTGCCCTCAAAATCTGAGTTAAGGGAAGAAAGTGGTAGTTATAACTCCTAACCTTAGATGAACCAAATGAGGACCCCACTTATAGATATAAGTCCATATCAGTCATTTCAAAATTCCTGTATCCAAGTAAGACCTTGTCACACAAAATTGCCAGACCAAATCAAACAGTTCTCCAGGGAACTGGAACCTGCCTTGTTCACAAACTAAACTTAGTATGCGAAGCCCCAAGCCTGTGTACAAGTGGGCTCTGGGAATTCCTCTCCCACCCAGCCTGTAATTTACAGCCTGTAACCCTTGTAAATTTACTATAACTAGTGTAAGTCCTACCCACTCCTTCAAAGTTCTTCCCACATTACTAAGCGAATGCCACTCACATGAGGCTTCCTAGTGTTGCTATTACCTCCTTGCCCGGAGAGACCCTGTATTATCCTTGACTTCTCCAAGATGTGCAGGCTTCCCTACTCATTTTAAATACCCATCATTTGTGGAATGAGTGGTTGCTATGAGAAACCATGAGTGGAAAGTGTGCTGTTTCGGGCCTCCCTGGTGGCACAGGCGGGTGAGCACGGCACTGTGAAGCTGTCCGTAGCCTCTGCAGCGCAGGTTCGATCCCAGCTGGCCGGGATGAAACCCACATGGCGCAGCAGACTTCTCCTGTCTCGCCCGCTGCTCCCCTCAGCAGTGTTTTTCGTCAGTCTGCCTGTTCTGTTCCCCGCTCTGTCTCTGATAAATCCTCTCACCCTCCCGCACATCTGGCCTATACCCTGTTTCTTGTATAAATAAATAAACCTTTAAAAAAAAAAAAAAGTGTGCTGTTTCTAGAAAACACCAGATACCTTCTCCAATCACACCTTTCCCCACAAGACACACATGCATGCAAATACTTTTATATTAGAGGTTCCTCTGCAGCTTTTCCCATATAGAGCTTGTTAGCTGAGCATTTTCTGATTACATTATTTGTTTTTTTGGCAGTTCCCAAACCAGATCTAGATTCATATGTGTTTCTGAGAGTGAGAGAACGACAAGAAAACATACTGGTAGAACCAGAAACGGATGAGCAGAGGTGAGTGGCGTGTGTCTTTGATGGTAGAAAGTACTCCTCCTACTGGAGCCCCTTCTAAGCTCTGCAGATACATGTTTTTCCTCCTTTTTCAGGGACTATGTGATCGATTTGGAGGAGGGCTCACAGCACCTGATCCGATATAAAACCATCGCCCCTCTGGTTGCTTCTGGAGCAGTACAGCTAATTTAAAACCAAAAATACATAAACAAGAATGAAGATGTGAAAAACCCACTTTATGCCTAAGGACAACAGACTTTTCTTGCAATGTTGTGGATCATTTGGGTATTGAGAAGGAGCTCAAGGAAGTCTTGCCAAATGTCCTCCTAACTTCCTGCCATTTTAGCCAGTATCAGTAGAGGGGGCCATCGCTCTGCTGATCCTTAAAACTGAGCAAATACATGGAGACTTTTGCTTTGTGCACCCTTCCCCTTTATAGTGTTATTGGAACTCAGGAAAGTAAGGCAAAGGTAGTATGTAAAAAGTCATTGCTGCCTATAATTAGAGGACTGTAGTTAGCCCTGACCTTGTAGTGGCAGGGGAATTCAGTTAATCTTCTAATAGGAAGATTATAAATAGATTAAAGAAATAGCACTGTTCTTTCTTCTCTGTCATGTCACTAGATTGTGTGAACTAACCTATTGGAACCTCTAATATTGGACTTAAAACCGCTTCTGTCATGTATAACTGAGAATACCAACTCAACTAATAAAGCATTAAGTTTCAGTTTGGTGGCCGAGGAACCTCTGGACAGTTCTGGGTTTGTAGTCTGATGAAGGGTGTGCTCCCTGATGCTAACCTGCAGCCTTCCCTGACTCAGGCAGCTTTGCCAAGCCAGCCTCCAGACCATCTGCCATGCCTTGGGCAAAGCTCTCTCAGCACTGCAACATTAATTATCCAATAGTGTGACCTCAGTTGCAGTTTTTCCTTTTTAAGCTCTTCACTTTAGGGAAGTAGATGAAATTAATCTTACTGTAAATGGAAAATCTCCCAGTGGTACCTAAAGGAAGGGTGTAGACAGTGAAGGAATCATCTTTCCTTGAAACATGATAAAAAGCAACTTGCATTCTTTATTATTGCTTGATGAAAAGGCAGTAGATTTTCATTCTCATGATGCAGGCTGTTAAAGCAATCAAGGTAATATTGCTATCATTTCCGAGAGAAATTGCCAAGGAAAGCAAGGAAGGTTTCATGCATTAATGAAAGTGTTTTATACATCATCCCCCTTCCCCCAGGGTGTTTTTATCCTCTACAGCCATTTACTAAGCAAATACATGTTAGCAGACAGTGTACCAGTTAACATTCAAGACACTGAGATTCCACTGTCCCTACTCATGGGGACAAGCGCCTTGCAGAGATGAAAACAAGATGACTCACCAGAGAGTGACTGGATTGGGTGATCTGAGAAGTTCTCACTGAATTTGGTGAGGTTGAGAGCTGAATAATAAGAGGAAGGACATTCCAGGCAGAGAAAACAGCAGAAACAAAAGACGCGCAGCAGAAATGAATTCTGTCTGTAGTCAATATGACTGGAACATACTAAGAGGAAGATTGTGTGCAAATCACTTACAGCTTTCTTAGCAAGGATCCCATTTGGTCCTCACAGCAATCGTGAGAAGTGGGCAGGTCTGACAGTATGCAGTAGTGGAAAATAAAGCAGATGTGTAGTGATATGTCTGAGACCAGAATCCAAGCGGGCTTCCTAATTACCTGTGTGCCTTCTCTCTCTCTCCCTGCCTCTCTGGCATGCTACTAAGCACAGGAGGGAGCATGGGTTATGTGCTACTGAAGCCTTAATGTGCACCAGTGGCCTAGAGATCTTGTTAAGAAGCAGATTCTGATTCAGGAGGTCTGGGTGGGACCAGGAACCCGTACTTCTGCGGAGCATTTAGTCTGAGCGGTTGCTGCTGACCAGGGATCTCCTGTCCGGTTTGTGCCAGGCTTTACAGCGGAGTTTAAAAGTCTCTACTAAAGTCTCAGAGAATCATTTCGTTTCCCACATCGCCTCTTCAAAGGAAGACTCATTTAGATATGTCATTTTAAAACAAAGGGAAAGTTGTATTTTAAAACCAACTAGAAAGGGAAATGATATGTTTAGTGTGACATTAACTTAAACTTGCAGTTCATAATATTTTATGGTTAAAAACTTGTCACTGAAAGCATGACAGACGTTTTCTTCAAATTATTGCATCATCCTATAGTTTGTCCATAACAAAGCGCTTTTTCTGAGAAGGGCCTATTGGTCATATTTGGGTTTTCCCAGCAGAAACAACCATATGTCCACAGCAACAGGACCCAAACGGTGTTTACCCTGTGCCCAGATCCCAGCAGACATCATGGCTTTAAATTCACCCTCATAGACATCAAACGTCCTTTTGTGGAGTACGAGTTGACCATAAAGCTTTCAGAGTGAACTGTTAAGCAAGCATTTGTATATCATTTCTTCATAAAATGTTCTTTAAATAATTTATCATGGGAGACTAAATGTCTCAAACATTCAGAATCTTTCAAGAATTGATACTTCTTTAGTATTGTGATGAAGCAATACAAAACAAAGCAACTCTCATCTTAGCATTTTTAAGTGTGCAGATTAATGGCATTAAGTGCATTCCCATCATGCAACTGTCACCACCACCTGCCTTCATAACTCAAGTTATAAAACTGAAACTCTCCCTTTGAACAGTAGCTTCTCCTGCTTCCCTTCCCCTATCCCCTAATAATCACCATTATACTTTGTCTTTGTGACTTTGACTATTCTAAGCACTTCACCTAAGTGGGAATCAAACAGTTTTTCTCTTTTTGTGATTGACTTATTTTCTTAGTTTAATGTCTTTAAGGTTCATCCCTGTTATAGTATGTTGCAAAATTTCATTTCTTTTTAAGGCCAAATAATATTCTATGTATATTTATGACACATTTTGCTTACCCATTCATCTCTCAATCAATGGATATTTGGATGGTTTCCACATTTTAGCTATTGTGAATAATGTTGCTTTGAACATGGGTATAAAATATCTTCTTGAGGCCCTGCTATCATTTCTTTGGGGTATATACCTAAAGTGGAATTTCTGGATCCTACAATAATTCTATTTTTAATTTTTTGAGGAGTCTATTTTTCCATAGCAGCTCTACCATTTTACCAATAGTATACAAGAGCCAAGCTAACAGGTGTGAAGTAGTATTTATTGTAGTTTTGATTTGCATTTCCCTAATTCTTAGTGATGTTGGGTGTCTTTTTATGTGCTTATTGGAGAAAGTTTGTCCTCTAATAATCTTATTGAGGATTCTGTATATGTGATGATTTGCATCCCTCTTGCTGCTTTCAAGATTCTCTGTATTTAAAGTTTGATTATAGGGGCTCCCCTGGTGGCGCAGCGGTTGAGCACTGGGCTGCAAAGCTGCCCGCAGCCTCTGCAGCGCAGGTTCGATCCCCGGCCACCGGGAGGGTCCCATATGGTGCAACAGACCTCTCCTGCTGCACCTGCTGCTCCCCTCAGCAGTGTATTTCGTCAGTCTGCCTGTTCTGTTCCCTGCTCTGGCTCTGGTGAATTCTGTCACCCTCCCGTGCTTCTGACCGTACCCAGTGCTTGTATAAATAAATAAATAAATCTTTAAAAAAAAAAAAGTTTGATTATAATATGTCTTGGTGTGGGTGTCTTTGAATTCATCTTACTGTTTGTTGAGCTTCTCTGATGTTTGTGTTTATCACATTTGAGGAATATTGAGGAATATTCAACCATTATTCAAATATTTTCTCAGCCCTTTCCCATTTCTCTTTTCTTTCTGGATCTCCCAGGATGCACCCTGGATGGTGTTGTATCCACAGGTCTCTTAGACTCTGTTTACTTTTCTTTAACCTTTTCTCTTTCTGTATCTAAACCTTGATGATTTCAATTGTCCTATCTTAAGGTTCATGCATTCTCTTTTCTATCTGCTTAAACCTACCTTTGAATCCCTCTATTGAGTTTTTCATTTGAATCATTGAAATTTTCAGCTCTGTAATTCTTTTTTATTTATTAATATTTTCATTTTGCTCATAGAACATTTACTTGACCCTCTGCACATCTTTAGTTCTTTGAGCAACTTTTAAAGTCTTTGTCTCATAATCTGCCATCAGATCTTTTCAGGGATATTTCTATTGATTTATTTTTTTCCCCTTGAATGGGCCATACAATTTCTATTTGTTCGTATGCCTGGGGAATTGTTGAACGTTGGATTTTAAATTTAATAATGTAACTTTGAAAGTCAGATTTTCCCCCTAGCCCAAGGTTTGCTGGGTTTTATTTTTGTTTATTGTCATAGGATGTCTGTCTCTGTGCTGAGGATCAGCCTCAGTATAAATGTAATGTTTTCTCAGCTCATTCTGAGCCTTCCCCCGAGCATGTACAGTCACTTTCTAATTTTCCCCATATATGTGGTTGCTTTTGAATGTCTTAGTCTTTCATGTGTGGTGTCTAAATTGGGGGAAAAGTGAAAAAGAAAGGAGAAAAGAAGGGTGCCATCTCTATAGATCCTCTAAAAGCCACTTCAGCCAGAGAGGAAGATTTCAACAATGGGGGAAGTGCAACAGCAATGTCTGCCTGCTTTTTGTCTGCATGTCTGTGATCAGAAGCAGCAATCAGCAATATTTGAGGACAGCGTCCCTTTTTCCCACCTTAGCTTTCACAAGTTATGTGCAAGGTGCTCCAGGATCATTTGCATAGCAGCCTGTCACAGGACTGGGGGCAGAAGGTAGATGACTGATACTCTACTAAGAGCTGAAATTGACCAACATTAACTTCACTTTATGGTCCAGGCCTTCCCCTGGAAGTTGCAAGTCTTCAATAGAGTTCCAAAATTGTGACTTCAGACAGATTCCCTAATGTAAATTGTTCTCTAGGTGGGGAGGCAGATTCCTGTGTTGCTTACTGTACCATCTTTCCAGAATCCTCTAACAATTGACTTTCTGACCAGCTCACTCTGAAAGTATTCTAATCTTGTCATAAAAACTTCATTTTTAAAAAAGCAAAAAAAAAAGTATTCAAATAGTAGACTTTATTTCAAATAATTTAGCTGTTTTTAAAAATTGAACATCCCTCCCATGACTGAAAAAACAACTACTAAGAGTATTCAAAAGGAATGCATTCTAGATTCTGAAGGCATGTCAATGACCACTTCTAATTTTTATCAAGTATTTACCCTGAGTCAGACTGTTCTATCCATTAAGTAGATAAACTTATAAATCCAAACAGTAACCCAATGCAAGAAATCCTGGGTATCATTTTGATGAAATGCTTGATCCTTGTAGGGCATATGCCCATGCCTTTGAATAGGCTACTTTACAAGTCTATAGTGGTAGAAGTTAACTTACAGAACACTGGTAAAGACATGACTAGTTCCTTACTGCTGTGCAAATGATTACTGTAAGGCAATGGAAATGAATTTTGTCCTGTAGAGAATAAAGTCAAATCCTCATTTGAATGGGTTTTTAATATTTTTCTGGTTCTCCCATTACATAATAAGTGAAACAACATCTTAGGCACATGTCCCTTTTATGTCTGTATGAAAGTCAATAGTTGCTACCACATAGGTGTTTACAGATTAATTTTTTAATACAATCATAAGGTGGGTAATATTGTTAGCCTCATTTTATAGATGAGAAAACAAATGAATTTACTGAAGATCACATAGCTACAAGGGAGAAGAGCAGGGACTCAAACCACAGTGAGCCCAGTACTTCAGAGTCCACCCTCTTAACTATCTTGCAGTTCTCTCCACAAAAGACTTTACCGTTCACATTACTTCACAGTAGGTGGCATTTTTCATAGCATAGGAGTATTTTAGGCTTTAAGCATAATCATGCTCTACTTACCACAGCGCTTGCAAATTTACCTAATTTTTCAAGGCAGGGAAAACCATTCAAAATAAATTCAGGGCCTCCCTGGTAGAGCAAGGGGTTAAGCACAGCACTGTGAAGCTATCCACAGCCTCTGCAGCACGAGTTCGATCCCCAGCCAGCCAGGGAGCTACCCACATGGTGCAGCAGACCTCTCCTGTCTCGCCTGCTGCTCCCCTCAGCAGGGTATTTCAGTAGATCTGTCTGTTCTGCTCCCCACTCTCTCTCTGGTGAATCCTCTCACCACCACTCCCCGCTGCACACACACACACTGAAGCACTGGCCTATACCCCAGTTCTTGTATGCATAAATAAATAAATAAATCTTTTTTTAAAAAAATTAAAACAAAATAAATTCAGCAAACAACTACCCTTTAAACTTCCCTTCTTGTCCAGTTCTATTAGGTTCTTTGAAATTAAGACAAAGTAAATGACTATTTCTTCCCTGAAGGAGTCTACAATGAATCTTTAGAAGACTCCCTATGTGAAAATCTGAAAAAGTGAGATTGTATGGTTCAGAAAAAAACACTTACTTTCATTTTCAGGACTAAGATGGTTGAAAGGACATTACTTTCTTGGGCACTAAGCTTTGCATATGAGGGGATATTTTAAATCTCTTAATTGGGATACTGCTTGGGACCCAAAGTTATTTTCAACCCAAATGTAATTTTTTTCAACTTCAAATTGCTGCTTCTGTTATCTCTGAACCTGTAATGTCTCTCAAGCATAATTATGACCCTTTCACTGTCTTTCTTAAAAAGCTCAGTGGCTACCCATTGCTTACAGAAAAGGAAATTACTATTCATTGGGCATCTGTGCAATGGGCAAATTGCTCTCCATGAATTACCTTGTTTAATATTCATAACAATCCTCTGAGAAAGCACTAGTCTCACCAAGGTACTCCAGCTTCCTGGTCAAATTCATCTTCCTAGAATGTTTCTAATCTTTTTATACTTACAGTTTTACTGTTTTTATTTCTATTAAAATCCTACCAAAATTCTTGAGAAATGAAGTAAGGTATACCTAATTTTATATCAGTAACATGGGATCAAATGATGATTTGTGCATGCCTGCAGCCTAGCTTGCAGGATTGACCATGGAAATAACATAATGAGAAATGGCATATGCATCATTTGCTGTCATTTGTTAACAGCGTGTGTGCTGCCCCTTGGCTCTGCCCGCAGGCAAGCCACCCTCCACCTCCAGAGAGGACAGTTAACCTGCATTTTGAGAGAGACTCTCGTCCACCTGCTTCATTTTGATTACAGATTTGGTTATTTTCATTTTGATTACAGATCATCTGGTTATGAAAGCTTTCTCGTCTCTAGTCAACAGCATAGCACGTCTGCACTTAAGTGAGCATAGTCATGAGGAGGCTGCGAACCATGCCAACACTTTTTTTTAAAGATTTATTTATTTGTGCATACAAGAACTGGGGAACAGGCCAGAGGTATGGAGGGTTAGAGGATTCACCGGAGACAGAGTGGGTAGCAGAACAGGCAGACAGACTGAAATACACTGCTGAGGGAACAGCGGGAGGGACAGGAGAGGTCTTTAATACATGAAACCAGAGTGAGCGAGGGGCTATATCATCATCAATACATTTCTCTTGGTTCCTCAAATTTTATTTCTGTATCAAGTTTAATTCCATGAGGAGTAACTCTGGCTATACAGATTAGTTCTTTTATTTTAGCTAAGAAACAGCCATGTAAATATCTCCTTGAATTCCAACAATTATAATTAAAGACATTATTGATTATATTAACTATTGCTTTCTATATTAGGATGCATATATAGTTTTCTCAGGATTTAATGAAAGTAAAAATTTGTCCCTTCAAACTTGTCTGACTCATTTTATCAGACAAGTGAGTTGTATTGGTTCCCTCTTTCTAGTCTCTACCAGGGAGCTGAGGGCCCATTATCGAAGTCACTGCCTCACCCCAACTTCCTGTAAATTTCTCCTCAATCCTTTCTTAGTTTCTCATCTCCTTTTTATACCTACAGTTATATTACTTTATTTTGTCTCAAATTTAAAAGCTACCCCAAATTGAAGTAAGTACATGTTAGTAACGTGAACATATATTAGTAACCTGGATATCTCAGTTTTTTTTAAGATTTATTTATTTATTTATACAAGAACTGGGGTACATGTCAGAAGCACAGGAGGGTAAGAGAATTCACCAGAGACAGAGCAGGGAGCAGAACAGGCAGACAGACTGAAGACACTGCTGAGGGAAGCAGCGGGCGAGGCAGGAGAGGTCTGCTGCGCCATGTGGGGTTCTCCCTGACCGGCAGGGAATTGAACTGGCACTGCAGAGGCTGAGGACAGCTTTGCAGCACGGTGCTCAACCGCTGCGCCACCAGGGAGGCCCTGGACATCTCAGTTTTTAAAGCATGCCTGGGAATGAAACTATTTCACAAAGTACTTATTCCTAAGCATGGCACATAAGCAAAAGTGGTAATGAAGGCAAGACTTGTAGTGTCCCATCGCTAACATTTTAAGGAATGACCTAGTCAAGTAAATGACCCAATTAAAAAAGGTAATATACCAAGTATTACTATTCAATTTGGTAAGTGAACATTTAAGATCAGACACTGTGGCATGGGCTGTGTGTTCAGAGGAAGAACACCTCTGACGTGAAGCAGTCTGTGACCCAATGAGGGAGACCAACAAGTACACAAATCACAGAATAAACATGTTTTTATAAAAGTAGAACCGTCATGGGGTAT